TGAACAAAAATGATGAAATACGTAACCCGAAGAAAATTATCATCCTATAAAAAGAAAAAGAATCGAAACAAAATTTTAGTTGTAAGATTAATATCAAGATTAAAATGATAATGATACATATTGAATATTCGAGATTTCGTTTACATTTTAAAGTATTTTATTGGTAGTAAATTATACGAATTTTTATCAAATTAAAGAATACGAGATGTCACTATTGAACAATAGTTATAATCGAATAAATATATATTCAATTGAAATCTTTTTCTTTATTGAAATTATTTATTGGTTATCAAAAAAATCTCGTTTACATAGATCATTTAATATTTTCCAACCTTTTTCACCATCTTTTGTACGCATATCAGGTTTAAATCCAAAATCAGTATACATATTCACTGACTGTTTTTAATACTGCAGATACTAATGGTTTAGCTAACTTTTTTCCTTGATATTCTGGTATTATTGCGGAATTAACCACAAAATAAAGTCGTTCAGATAATAAATGATTATCTTTATGTTTTAAAAATTCTTTAACAAAAAGTTCATCAGCTTGTTCAACAGTATGAAATTCTCCAGCAGCTAACATTATAATTGAAATGAATATCCAGATGGAAGTGGATAGGATAATATTGAATCCATATTTTTTCTAGTCATTCTCATTTTTACATATTCAATTTCATTAGTTGATTGATGAAGATAACTGGCTGCCATATTACTTAAAATAAAATAAAATTGTAGTCTGATAAGATAAAAAATATAGCGATGAGTCTTATCATTTTATTTTCTGCGTTCTTTATAAAGTTATTCATCGAGTAGAGAAAAATTTTATAATGAATGGATTAAATTGTATTTGTTTTGAAATAGTAGATCCATATTATACAATATTTATTGTATAGATTTAATAAATGATATATAGTAAAATATTCTAAAGACTTATGAGAAGTGTTCACTTATGAGAAATATTATATATTTTATTACAGAATAAAGTGAATTTTCAGGAAATGGACTTCTTTACTTCTATCTACACACAGTATAAACAATAATCTAGTTTGTTTGTTTATGTCTCAACAATTTAATATGATAGATAGACGAAATACAATACAGTGTTTAGTTGTTTTTATTAATATTATTTTGTGAAAAAAGATGAATAAAGTCATTAAGATTAAGTTCATTTGGCAGAGCATCGATCGTATCTATCTCTTCATTTAATATGTGAAGAGTTTGAAATGCTTCATGAATTTCTTCTGAAAAATAAAGCTTATATCTATTTTATATTTTTATTCTCGTATGAAACGAACCCAATGTCATTTTTTCTCCATCTGTCATCTATAATATTATAGAACAAAATCGTTTATAAAAAGAATACTAATATGAACACTTACGAGATTTCGTATAAGTGAATGAATATTAATTTTTAAATGTTTTGATGATTTAAATTCATTAAAAATAGATTGAAGTATATCATTAGCTGATGTTTGATTAGTATTATTAGCAAAATGATTGTAATAAATTTGAATTGTTTCATCAAAATTAATTTTAATCTTATATGGATCAAGAATATGTTTCTTAAAACATTCTTCATCATATAATTCTTGAATTTGTCGTTCAGATATATAAATACCAAGTGCACGAGTAAAATCCGTAATTAAAGGTAAAGAAATAATTTGTTCAATTTTTAAATTACTTGCATCTTGTAATTGAATATAATAAAATAATGATTCAAGTTGTTTTAATTTCATATTTATTTCTATAGTTGAATTTTCTAGTCGTTTTTCCATAATTGACAAATCAAATTTCCATACAAATATACAATTATCTTTTTCACCACAAGAAATGAGAAGATTATGATTTGCTGTAACATCAAATGTTCGTATACCATTTGAATGAGCTAAAATCATATCGTATTCATTTTTATGACCTGTTCCTGGTAATTTCATTACACCAATTGCAGTTGATGTCCGAAAAGCAAGATATGATGTATCAAGAATATTTTCATAATCAACTGGCCAGATTTTAATCTGATGAAATGATGAAGGAATAGTTTGAAGAGTATGTCGACATTTATTTACAAGTATATCAAAAAATTTAATTCGTCCATTATTAATTGAACATAATAGATAATCAGTTTTTCCATCCATAGAATAGGATACAATAGAAGAAATATATGATGGATATTCAATAAGATTTATACAAGATTTTATTCCAAATGGTTGTTCTCGTTCATAATCAATATAATATTCAATAAGATTTCCATGATTATCAGATGAAAATAATTGTTGTTTTTTTGTAATTCGATCTTCTGTAAATAAAATTGCAGTAATATGACTAGAATGATCTATATAATGTCCATGATTATGATAAATATGAAATTTTTCTTTATCTTGAATATATAATGTAATTTCCTTGATGAAATAATTTAATAGTTTATTAGTCATTAATCAATCAATAAGCTTACTGAATCGAGACTAACAGCAGTAAGAAAAAGTGTATTTGGTGAAAATTCTAAGAATATTATAGATGATTGAGAATTATATAATGGACGATTGTCAATTGGATTATATGTAATAGCTATGAATGAAAAATATATTTCAAAGTATTCTTAGAGGAAAGATTTTCATACCATCATATAACCAAATTAAACCATTATCTAAACCAATAGCTAAATGTGAATATTTTTTATTAAGTGCTAATTTTGATATTCCAATACTAGTTGAAGTTGATATCAATTTATCAAGAAATAAAAAACGTCCTAAATAATATTAGAATAATGATTTTTAATGGTATTTATCATGCGTATACATACCTTCACCATGCCAAGCATGGAGATGTCCTGTGGAAGTACCTATATACAAAACTGGTAATAGTGGATTGAGACAAATATCTGTAATTTGACCCATCGGTGTTTTTTGTACAATTTTGACTAGAAATAATCTATTTCTATTATCATACATTCATATCGGCGCAACATACTCAATGAAAAATCTTGTTGTGTAACAACAATTGCCTTTAAATTAATATATTAATACATATAGTATATATATATAGATAATACATACGTGATTTGATTGACAAATGACTTCATTAAGTTGAAAAGATTTATTTTTATTATCAAGTTTATCTATTAATTTTTTCTCTTCATTTTGATTATCTTCGCTAATACCAATACCAATAATAGCACCAATATTTAATGATGCATATTGTTTAATAAAATGTAAATTGTAATCAAAAATAGTTATTTGTGATTGATTAGTTCCAATAATAATGTGATTATTAAACCATTCAATACATGTTATATTATGTTGTAAATCATGTAAACGTTTTATTATAGTTTTATCTGGTATATAAATTTGTTGTTCACTAGATGTTGTTATGTGTGTATGTTCGACTTCGAAAAAAATAGCTTTACCACTTGATGTTATTATTACTGCTTCACGTTTACCAGGAATCATATAACAAAAAATGATTGAATTAATTTGTTGACCAAGTTTTCGTTGAATATTACAATGAACTTCTAATTTAAAACGATCAGAATCTTTATTATGAACTAAAAATATATGTTTCGTACTTAATCTTATGCAATTAAATTTACTGTGAAATATAACAGAATCCATTCCAATACTACAAAAAATTGATCGATCTTCAATCATATTAAACCATGATTGACGTTCACAAATAACTGAAATTGTTGGTAAAACAATTGGACTAACATCAGTATTAGACCAACGCCAAAGAATAAGTTTTTGATCGGGTATTTCAGTTAATATACTAATCAATTTTCCATCACGTGATATACATATACGAATTATACCTGTTTCATGTATATTCGTTAAATATTTGATCGGTTTTAATGTATAAGTATTCCAAACAATTAAAAATGTTTCTGGTATTGATTCAGCCGTAACTAACCATTGTTTATCATATGAAACTGCTGCACTTTTAATGTTCGATATATGACCTTGTAAAAGATTTTGCGCTTTTCCACTTCCTGTACCTATAATACCAACATTTCCGGCTGCGTAGAAATATCTAGTTTTGCCACTGACAGATAGATTCAGTAATGGTACAGTGTCATTCATACCACTAATCCATTTGAGTGAAAGAGATGAAGGATTATTATTTGTTTGAACATCTTTTACGTTAGATAAAGCCATAAATTAATTTGATGAAGCAGAAGAATATAAGTAAATGCGCTAAATTATAGTTCAGAATAACAGATGGCGTTCATATCTGATGACATATTATTTTAATATAAAGAAATACTTGACAACATCAGAGGTTCCATCGAAACAGTATAGATTATGAAATTTTCATGATGACACAGTATTGCCATTATTCATCTTCCTTCCGCTCCCAGAAAATACCGTTGTTGTTCTTCCTTTTTTTCTTCCTTGCTTTTGATTTTTTATATATAATGTCGTGCATAATGATAATCTATCAGTTAGTTACATTTTCTTTTTAGTCTATTTTTAACTATCACTGTTAGTCATTTTATATTTTCTATGGTAAAAAATAAATGAAATGAACTAGAGAGATAAAGAAATACTTTTTTTCTACGTAGGGGCTACTTGATATATTACGAAAATTTCGTTCAACACCACAAGATGAACTTCGTATTTTACTTTTAGGTCTTGATAATGCTGGAAAGGTGAGAATTTTGCATGTCTGTATACATAAACACAAGAGATAATATCATTTTAGACAACATTACTAAAAGTTCTTGCTTCAGAAGATATTTCACATATTACACCTACACAAGGTTTTAATATCAAAAGTGTGCAATCAAGTGGTTTTAAGCTCAATGTTTGGGATATCGGTAAAAATATTTCACTCAATGTTATTTCTTTATGCAAAAATATATATCTTGTAAGGTGGTCAACGTAAAATTCGACAATATTGGCATCATTATTTTGCAAATACTGATGTTTTAGTAGGTTTCCTATTATTTTTTCTTCTCATCTTGTATATTTATGATTATAGATATATGTTATTGATAGTTCTGATCGAAAACGTTTTGATGAAACAAATCAAGTAGATTTTCATTAAGTATTTCATTATAAAATATTTCTTTTAGGAATTATCTGAGTTATTAGAAGAAGAAAAATTAAATGGTGTACCTTTATTAGTTTTTGCTAATAAACAAGATTTATTAAATGCTGCTAAAGCATCAGATATAACTGATGGTTTGTCATTACATCAAATACGTAATCGACCTTGGCAAATTCAAGGTTGTTCAGCATATACAAAAGAAGGTGTTAAAGTAAGGAAAATATTTTTTATAGTTGCTATTCATTTCTATTCTATGAATTTAGGAAGGTCTTGAATGGGTATCAAAAACAGTTGCTAGTAATAGAAATAAAAAATAAACACAACGAGTCTTAATATAAAAATATATCAGGCTATTGTTAATGTGTATTTTTTAAAAAATGTTCTTCTTCCTCAATGAAAATTTTATTTTTCTATGTTGTGGCTTTTTATGTTTGTGTTTAATAAAGTTTTTGAAACAATTCTATTTTAAAGGATCTTCGATGAAGCTTCAAAAAATGAATTTTACGCTGGATTAATATTGAGAGAAATTAGTTGAAGCATGTATAAAATAAAACTATAATATAAATATATGTTTGATTAGAAAATAAGAATAGATGATAAAGCTTGTCAAATAGAAGAAAAATGACTACGTATTATTTAATAATCAATGTATTTAGACTGAAAATAGATATAAATATACTTTCAAAAGATTTTTAATGTGTACGAAGGATGGGTGTGATTTTGGTTATGCATGTAGGTTTGAATGTATATACGAGCACTGGTGTTGATGAAGAGAGACTTATACTAATACCCACACCCTCACTAATTGTTACAAAACTTATTCTATCAAATAAATTTTAGACAACAATGATCTTTTGTAGCCACATGATTGAAAGTAATTGAATGAGTGCTTATAACATAAGTTATTAATCTTTTAAAATTGAAAAACAAGAATATTCAATAAAAAGTTTTGTCTTTTCATTTCATACAATATTCAAATAGAGCAATCATGCATAAAATTAGAACTACAGATATTTCAAACAACTAATGGGCTGTACAATTTTATTTTATATAATTTATTTATTCAAGTAACAAATGAACATAATTATGGCCTACACATACATATCTCGAAAAAATAATTTTTGAAATATTTTGGAAGTTGACGAATTTTCTCCAAACATATATAATTAATTTTTTCACAATTCAATCGTGTTGCTTTACGTGTAAATTTGTGCGTCACTCTTCTTAAAGATTTATAATCAATTGAAAGAGTAATATTAGATGGTAAATATGTTCTGGTGTCAATTAGAAATTGTTCAATATAATCATCATGAGTTGTTTCAAAATTGAGACTTTCTAAATGAGAATATTGAATAATTGAAAAAAATTTACGAATATTTTTTGATTTTCCACATTGTGGTTTTCCATTTCGAATAGTTAATCGTTTCAAAAGGGGAAATGATCGAGAGATGCGAACAAAAAATTCATGTTCAAAAGGGTGTTCGTCAAATAATGATATTTCACTAACACATGTAAATAAACCACCTGGAAAATTGTTCGCAATATTTGGATATATTCGGATTGTAAATGGGTATGAATAAATATGACAGTGACCTTTTCCTTCTTCAGAAAAATAATTAATACAAGAGCTAATTTGAATATCTGGAAAATATTCGAATGAATATTGAATATCTTCAAGCGATGGTAAATAAATTTGATCATTTAACAATATAGTTGAACAAATATTTAAATGAAGTTGCTCTAAATTTGACATTCGTTGTAACAGTGGTATAATTGTTCTATCATACGAATGCACTGTTGAAAAACAATATAATGAAAAACATCGTAAATTGTGTAATTTATTCTAAAAAGAAAGATCATATAGATGTTATTAACGTTGAATGAAAACATACTTGGTTTATCTTTAAGCGTGGGCGTACAAATCCATATTGTACATCAACATAAAAGGTTCAAAATTGATCGAAACGATCATCAAGTAAGTAAAGGCAATCAGTAAAAGAATCAACTTTGACATGTAGTTCTAATAAAGTTGAAGAAAACATAGATGGTGGTGAATATACGAATGCCATTCGTTGATCATAGAAAAGTAATGAATCAAACTTGAAATATCGTAAGTGGCTTAAAGTATTAAAAATATACGCGAACAAATGTGTATTAACATTCTTTGATGTATCTAGTTTATCAACAGATTTAATCACAAGTGATGAGATTTGATTTTTAAATCTTTGCATAAAAGTATTTTCTGTTAAAAATATAAATAAAAAATTTGATTTGAAAGAAATCTTTTCAATTATTATTTACTATCTTACCTTTCAAGAAACGTATATCATCGTCTCTTTCAATATTATATATACCAAGACCAAATAAATTCGGATAATTTCGAGGAAGTAAAATACGTTCTATCGATGATACTTCAATTTTTAGCCAATTGATTTTATAACTAATTGCAGGTAAAATTTGAGAACAAAATCGATGAAGAATTGAATCAGATAATCGAGAAATACTGTTAGATGACTAGTAAATATAGAATCATGTGCAATTTTAATACGTCGTTGATTAACACCAATGAGAGAATGAAGTATATGATGTTTTTCTAATTTTGTGAAAATAATCACAAGAATTTCATCAGGTAACTCATTCAATTCAATAGACGAATGTTCCATGTTGATATATACGTATATTTATTTCTATTCTAATTTATAATTCAATAATTACACATGTGTCTATTTATATTCAACTGTTCTATCTGTGACCGACGTCGTTCATAAAGATAATTATGCATTTTATTGTATAGTCTAATAATATCAATAGACAACGAATAAATGGCATTATGTCTTAATGAGATATGAATGACGTACAATATAAAGCGTTTTATTTTCTTTTCCACATTGATCACTCTTTGTACCATATTGAGATGATAAATTTTCTTTTTTTGATAGTATGTGTATACATACATACATACCATTTCTTAATATTTATTAGATTATCGAAAGAAAGGGTTATTGTATAAAAGATGAAACAAAAATTAATTTTTTCATTTACCGTAGAGGAAAATCATCCATTTAATTGCATTATTATAGTCTATATCATCTAAAAAGATCATTGAGAGAAAAACAGTACAAAATAACTTTTATCTGATTAATAAAAGAAAATATAATTCGATTTTCTTTCGTTGTTTTGAACAGAAAAGAAGATTTAATGTATAAAAAACAGTCGTTGGACAGCAGTCATGTCATGTTAAATCAAACTGATAATGACATTTTATAGAACTTTTTCTATATAATTGAATTGATTTTGGAATCTTACTTACACGACCTGGTCATTTTTGAGGGTGTGGGTGCAGGTATGGGTGTGTTTGTGGGCGTGAATGAAGGACAGACACTCAAACTCTCACACACACCCTCAAAATGCAATTCATCCGCATAATTGTCGCTGCACTAGAATAAAAGTTATGAAATTAATTTAATTTAAACTATATTAGCTGTAAAAATTACTAAATTCAAGTACAAGATTTCATTTTTTGTTTCGAATGTGCAATGCATTCTGATATCTAAGTTGTGGTACTCAATTGTGATTAAACCGAGACCTTCCACAGAATCATTCCAGTTAATAGTCTCGTTCATCTTAAGAAAAATTTTTATAAAATATTTTTTTGAAAAAAAATTGTTACTGTGCCGTTTTGTATTTCACTAAAAAACACTTTTGCAACATGGAATAATGGAACATTGATAGAATTTTACTATCATGATAGATTTTGTCATGAAATTCTATCAATGTTTCTAAGAATATAAAGTTTTTGTTCATTTTCTAAAAAAAAGATTTGAAAAAACTTTTATCAATATAAAAAAGCCTCACTTTTATTTTCTACTTGTCATTCTTATTTACAACTAAAACAATCCAAGTGTATTACCTAATTAAGAAATTCATAACAAATGGATGACTCTAATCATCATTATATTCAGATAATTTTGTAAATGCCATATGTCTGACGCAAGCATACTGAATAACACAGATCGTGATTAAAATGAGTGGACGATACGCTTCTCATAATATGCTTGAGGTAATTTCTTGACAGACAAATTCTTAGTGTCAAGAAAAGTATCTTTATCGAAATCATCACTGACGAAGCGGGCCTCGCACATAGTTGAGCTTAAGGCCAGTAAAGTCAAGATTTATACTAGCATCTCGTTACTAGCCATTGGTTTTGTTTATATTGAATGAGAGAATAAATATTGTGTTATAGTATTTATTTTGAAAAGGTGTTTTTAGCCGTTATATAGTCACTAGTAATAAAGAAGGAAGAGTAGCGAAAAAATATCGATTTTTTTACTTTCCATCGGAACAAATGCCTTGTATTTACAAAAAAATAGACAAAAGCGAAATGATTGACTTTGGAGGTTGACAGCATATCATGTCCTTCATTTAGCTTTGATAAAAGTATAGAATACGCCTCCTTGATACTTATATTTGCATGATGTGCAAAACGAATATTACTGATCTATCAATCGATAGCTTTTGTATGGATATGCTTATTGTAATCAAAATGTATAATAGCTATACACAAATCTTTCATAAAGAAAAAGAAAACAGATGGACATCCTTTCGAATAACTCCCCCCTCCTCCTTTTTGTCTTATCACATTTATCTTTCGCTTGTTCGTTTTCTTCCTTTTCGTATTCTGCTTTTTATGATATAGTCAGTCTTATCACAAACACGAAGGTAGACTCAACGTTATGATACAAGAATTATTCTGAACTGTGTTTGGAGACTCGAAGACGGAATAGAGTCTGAACCTTAAGCTCAGTAAAGTAGCAATAGGTATCCTTTTATTGTTATATTTATTCAATAAAAGATATATACACATTATTTATTTACATTATTCTTATTTCCGTTACAGTAGGGTCATTATGAAAGTAACTCATGTGTAACAAAAACGAAGGATACATAAAAAAAATCAAACTAATGAATATAAACAAAATGTTCAATCAATAAAATAATCTTACATTTATTAGCACTCGATGATCTACTTACAATGACTTTTTAAATAATATTGTAATTAGTAAGTTGATTTATATGAATTTGTATAACTATCTATGTATAATATTTTATAGACTCTTCATATGTACATAGATTTTTTTATTCAAGTCAATCAGATTGCAGCAAAGTTTAATCAGTAATATTTTATTTATATATTTTAATGACTTTTGATAATACTTTCATATTATCTCTATATCAAAACAATTATTGATACAATATAGAGTTAATATGTAACAATATGCTGTTCAATCATAGGTTGATTTAAATATGTTTTAATTTTAATAAAAAAAAAGTCTAATAACATACATAGACGAAGTTTATATTTTTTTGAAAAATAAATTATTCTAGAAAATAAAACTTCATTTTTCTCAAACTTTCTTTTCTTTCTTGAAGTAATATTGAAATAGTGACCTGATGCTATTTAAGTATAAATTGATGTTTTTCGACCATTATTTAGTCCATTTTAATGTTATGTTGGACAAATTATTGTGTTTACAACAAATAATCATGCTTTAATTGACAGGAATTTTCGATTTTAATTTTCTGTTTACTTCTATTGTATTAACTTTCTTTCATTATATTATACAGTATTTGTTTTTTCACTTAGAACGTCATTCGCAATAAATCGATTCTTTTAAGATTTCATTGTTATTATCATATTAATTGTACTTTTTTTTTATAACGATCAAAAAATTCTTTCTACGTTTGATTTATTCTATTGGTGAATGTAAAGAAAAGAAAGAAAGAAAGAGAAAAAAGTGCAACAAGTCTTTTTATGAATAAGAAACAAAACAGTCATTTTTAATTTTTACAAAACGAGAATATGTCAGACGATAAAAATAAATCTGGAGAAGTATTTGGTTTAACTGGAACAACAACTGGATCAAGTGGTGAACATTTATCAACTACTGGAGCTAGTGCGTTAGGTACTAGTGGAGGTAGTGGTGATATGGGAAATGAAAAATCTAAAGTTGATAAAGCAACTGCTGGTTTAGGATCAACAACAACAACAACAACAACAACAACAACAACAGCTGATACAGATCAAGGAACACGTTAAATGTAATAAAAGACTATACAGACAATTATTTTATTTTATTTTTAATCAAGCAACCATTTTCATGTTTTATTTACATAGAGGCTATATATAATTACCATAGAAACTGATTATATTTTACTTTATTTCTATGATGCGTTTATTCGTAAATATCAAACACACTATGTTTACAACAATATTCATATACATAATACATTAAACGTCTATATATACAAAATACGTTAAGTTTATTTATTTTTCTCTTATAAAACAAAACAATTTCAATTAATCATTGGACAAGCACCATCAGTCCACTAAAAGAAGAAAAAAGTTATTTGACTATGTTTTACATATATTATTTTATCTTACGGTTAAAAGATGTCGATGTTCAGCAAGTGCTACTGCTGATTGATAATCCTTTTGAAGATTATCATTTAATTGTATAACACGATCATTTGTTTCAGCTAAACGAGGATCATTACAAACGTGATAAAGATCTAAAATAAGAATATTTTACTTTTTAATAATGAATTTTGTCAAAGATTTTACCTCGAAGTAAACTCATTGTATTTAATTGAGCTGTATAATCAGGTATTGTTTGATTTATTGTTATTGCTGATTGAAGCATATTTGCACTTTCCTGATAACTATGCATTCGAAAGAACATATGACCAAGAACAATAAATGTATTTGCTAAAATTTTGTTTAAATCTTCGTTACTAGCAAGATTAGCTGAACGTCGAAAAAGTTCTCTATTTAAAAATAAAAAATAACAATTATTCTTTTCTTTTTTTCGTTTTCGAAATTTATATGTCATACTTTGCTTCATGTATACGAGTTTGTGTTAAATTCTGAAGACCATTTAATAAATTACCAATTGAATGAAGTATTGCGGATCTAATTGAAATATTAAAAGTTATTGTTTGATTATTAAATAAAAAATGACTTACTGAGTTGTATTTAATTCTATATTAATTTGTTGTAAAATTGGTACAAGATTTGCAATTTTTGATGTTCGTAAATAGATAATAATAAGATTAGCAAGAATAAAAAAACGAAATTCTTTATCGCCAGAAAACTATAGTATAAAAAAGAAAAGCATATATTATAGATGAATTTAAATAAATAATTTACTCGAGTTCGAAGAGCTGTTGCAAACTATAAGAAAAAATAAGATTCCGTTTATTTTTTTATAATCTGGATCGTTTACCTGTGCTTCGGCAGCTTCATTGAAATTTAATGATGTAGCATAAAAACCCTAAATACAAATTTCAATCTTAGTTTTTTTTAATTATCTTTTCATCTAATAAGTTTACTAATAATGCATGAACAGTTAATGATCGTTGAATTGCAATATTATTATTCATTGGATTTGATGCAGTATGAAGACGACATAATGTATTAATCTAATTCATTCATATTATTTAAAGACTATATTTCAATAAACTAGTACTTACTTCTTTAATAGCAACGGATTTATTACCATATATTAAATGACTTTGTATGCGACATTCGTAAAAAAGCATTTCAACAGCCATTAAAAATGGACTATGATCCATATTTTTAATTTGTTCAATTTGTGCTTGAGCTTTATCAGCATATTTAAGAGCTTTTTCTAATCGACCTGATAACATTGAATGAAAAACGGTTAACTAAGAGAAAAAGAAAATAAAAGTTTTCTATTTTTAATATGAATTTTTTTCGAAAAATAAACATACTAAATAAACAAGAACATTTAAATGATCACGTGATAACCATGTAAATTGTTCCAATGGATTTGTAATTATATAAGCTTCTAGAATAGAAGAAAACAACAATGAATGTATAAATATGAATAAAAGAAAGTGTATTATTACCTTCTTCTGGTCGACTTGCTAGATTTTGAATACTTTGTTGAAGTTGAATCAATGCATTTTTTGATGATTTAATCTATATAAGAAAGATAATCATTAATAAGTTTCATTTAGATTCTCTAGAATTAAACATACTTGACCAAGTCCAAAACAAGAACATGAGATATGTAAAACCAAATAAAAAATTCTTAATGTTTCAATATGTGAAAAATTGCCTTGTAATGAATTAATTCTATCTAAACATGGTTTTAATAAATTTTGTGCATCCATATAATCTTTTACTAATAATCGTAACTAAACATAAAATATTATTTTTATTTTTTTTATAAAGAACAAAGTTATTTTACCATAGCTTTAGTAAGTTGAAAAAGAATTTGACAAAATAAAGCATTGATTCTAGCTGAAAATTCTATTCCACGATCAATATAATAAAGTGCAGTATTATAATCTTCTTGTGAATGATATATACCAATTATTTGAAATATAATTCTACAATGCCAATAAGGTTGTTGAGATGATAGATCATATGCTTGTTGAAGTAATGTTATTGCTGATGCAAATTGATTTTGATTTGAATAAATTTTTGCTAATAAACAAAGACTTTCAAGTTTGATATCGTCGGGCATTTGTGCTAAATGACACTAATACAAAAAAACAAAAAATATTTATTTTATATCAATAAAATTATATTAACAAACAGCTTTATCAAGATGCATAGATGCCATATCAACATTTGTTGTATGTTGTGTATATAATCTTCCCAGAAATAAATGAATTTTAGCTTCAATTAATGGTGGTAATCTTATTGTTAGAATAGCTTGTAAACATTGTATTGCTAAACGATAATTTGGTGGTGTACTAGTTCGGAAATATTCAGCGGAGCCAAGTAAAGCTAAATAGACTGGATCAGCCATCTAAAACAAATCCTTATATATATATATATCAGATCTAACTAAATGCAGAAATAAATACGTATGTTTCATTCAATAAACAAAAAAAAAAGAGAAGCAGATTTGTTTTTTGTTTTTTGCATGCGCATAAAATTAAAAATAAATTGTTATTACACATAGAACTAAAGAATAAAGAAAAAAAGAGACTAGCCACAACAAACAAACGGGAATAGCGCATCACTCTTCTTTCTTTCTTTTTTTTTAAACACAAAAAATATTGCTTTTTTTTTGTTTGTTTGTTTGATAAAGTAAAAAGAAACACAGGGTTTAGTTAAAGAGAGATTTCCTAAATTGCACAGAAGAAGAAGAAAAAGAATGACAAAAAACACCGTAATATAGAAGTGAAGATGGTTTGGGTTTTATTGATAAGATTAATAAGGAATTGAATTTTGTTGATATTGTATATAATCATATAGACGTGTTCTTAAACTATGTGCACATCGATTAATTACTTCGTGCATATAACGACCAGCTTCTGCTTCACTTGAATCTGGTTTTAAACGAGCATTTAATTGTTCTAATGTATGACCACGAAAACATGGTAAACCTGTATCAAGCATTAGTGCAACAAGAGTAATAAAATCATGACGATATGGCCTAAAATAATAATAATATTATTTCATTAATAGAAAATTTTGAATTTACCTTAAAGCTAAATAACCTTTAATACATAATTCTTTAAACCATTGAAAAGCTGGAGCTGTTAAATCTCCCATAATAAGAATCATTTCAGCAGTTAATTTAATATCTGGTTCAAATCGCATATTTCCTCCCGGTGACGATTCAAACATAAAACCAAAATCTAATTAAGAAAAAAAAAGACAAATATAATAATCAAGAATTTTATAATAAACAAACCAATATGAACAATGTGTCCATCATCATCAATCCTAAAAATAAAATATAGAAATGATTGAAATAAGTTTATTCAAATACAAACATTATATTTCCATTATGACGATCTTTTATCTGAAGCATAAAAAGTGCTATTGAATATGCGGCCATACTCATAACAAAATTTCGACGTGCCTATAAAAATATTCGATAAAATTTTCTATCAAATTGATGATAATATAATATTACTTTTTGAAATTTAATTGAATCATCTTTTCCATAAACATGTCGAAAATAATCAAATAGACCAACTTCAGTATTTCTACCAATATCTTCGCGTGAACGAGAATTTGGTACACATTCAATAACACCACACTATGATAAATATTCAATATATATATTATTAAAATAATTAGTTATTAAAATGCTTACACCAGGGCTTGTAGCAATAACACGATATGTATATAGATATAATTCTAAACCTTCTTGTTCAAATATATTTTGAAAAAGACGCATTAATTGTAAAGCCAAAATATCCTTAATTAAAAAACGAATTTCTTTATATTTCAAAAGAACAAAAAAATAAATTATATTTAATTCTACCTGTCGAACATCATCACCAACTTTAAAAATAGCCATTTGAGAATATTGATTACTAAAATCTTGCATTAATTCATAATCAGGATCAGCACAATGTTCAACTTGTTCAATGCCAACAGTTTGTACACGAAATGTTGCTCGATATGGTGCTTTAGCCGCACTAAAAAATAAATTTTATTTTTCATAATAATAGATATATTTGTTTATAGAAATAAATCAATTTACCTTTGCATTGGTGCTCCACTTTCTGGTATTAAAGATGTAACGATTGCTTCAGGATTTGATGGAAGATAAACACCAGGTGGAACTTCACTACCAATTGAACGTAATTCTTGTAGACAAGCTATGAAGAAAAAGGAATTGAAGTCATAGTAAGAAATTTTCTTTTACCTTCTTTTCGTGAATTTCCTTTTGGATAAACTTTAATCGTATCGGAAACTTTTGTAAGACGATCCGAAAAAGCAAAAACACGTTCATAAAAATTCTTTGCATCAGGTGTAAAATCAAGTTCAATCTGTCGTGCAATGGGTTCTAATTTTGCTTGCATTTCATTATCAGGTGTATCTTCATTTTTAAATGTATTCGTTCGAATATTCCATATAAGTTGATGAGCTAATAAATTGGATTTTTTTGATAATGCCAATATTAAACGACGTACAAAACCCATCTAAAAATTAAAAAAGAAGAATTTCAATTAATAAAAAAATTGATTTTTTTCTTTATTATATACTTCATCATATCGAACAGCTTGTACTAATTGAGGAATGTATAGAATAAGTGCTTCAGATTTTGTTGTATATAACATTCGTGATGAGAATTGAATTGTATATGAATTTGCTACTTGATTAAGTCGTGCACTAGCAAAATAAGATAGTGCAGCGACAGGATTAATTGCAGCCCATGTTAGAATATGAGATGTCTAAAAAAAATAACATTAATAAATAAATTATTATTTGAAAGTATTTTTTTTGCTCTTTTACTTCGCATTGTCGATCATTATCCGAAGTTAATGTAAAGATACTAAGTGCTTCTGGTATATGACGAACTTGTAATGGATATGATCTAACTAAACGTTGTATTTCAAGACGTAATGATTCTTTTGGAATTCTAAAGAATTATTTATTTCTAAAATGAAATGTAATTAACAAAATTAACTTACGTATAATAAAGACTAATAGCTAAATCTGGTGAAATAAACCATGCTAAACGCCCATATTCTTGCCAAGCTTTATTCGATATTCCATTCAGATCATATAATTTCCAATTTGTATATGTTGATTGTGTATCTTGATCAAATTGAAGTTCTGGACGTCCCAAAGGATTATGAAATGTTTCTAAACGTTCGATTTCATATGCCTAAATAAATAAATATCGTTGTTAGTATAGAATTTTTATAAAAGAATTATTCAACTTACAATCAATGTTAGAAGAAGATTACGTTTTTTAAGTAAATCTCGAGATAATATTCGTGCATCAGTACTTTTCTCAGTATTTTTTGCTGATGTTGCTAAAATAAATGTTAAATATAAAGACTCTAATATAAAATATTTTATATATTTACCAGATTTTCGACTTATTGTTGATTGTCCACTAACACCTGTTGCAACTGCAGTATTACCAGCTAATGTATTTATCCATCCAGTTGTTCCACTTTTATTTGTACCATACAATGAGCTACCATCATTTACTTCATTATTAATTCCATTAGGTATTGAATTACTAACATCAACTAAAATAAACAAAAAGAAGAATCATATCATATTATTTTTTAATATTTAAACAAAAACTAACTTGTTACTGGTGAATCACTACAAAATTTCTTTTCTCCATGGACTAATGAAAAAAATCGAATTAGTGTTCGAATATCATTTCTTAATTCATTATGCGTTTGAGTCGGACAATGATGACGAACACTATTTGTAAAGAAAAACATTTATTTCATAAATAAAACGCATTTCTTGTTGTTTTTGTCTTACGTAAAATAATCAAATGCTGTATGATAGATTTTTTCTCGTAATAAATATTTACTAACACCATTAGCTAAATAATCACTTTGTACAAGATATAAAGCAAGATATAAAAATCGAAATCTAAGACCAACACCACCAACATGTCTTGTCATTGGTGCTTTAGGATTTTCTAATATTAATGAAAGAGATTTATGTAATAAATCAACAAGCATTTCCATTTCAATATCAGCTTTATGCATACAGAGATATATACGTTCTTCAATAAACTAAATAAATAAAAAGATTTAAATTTGAAATAGAAAAAAAAACAGATGATTTTGAAATAAATTACTTTTAAAAATATTCGATGTGGATTAACAGATGGTGGTTTAGGTTTTAATTCTTCTTTTTCGGATGGTGCAAGTGGTGATGGTTCGGGTTTATCAATTGAATAAAGACCATGACGATCGCTAATAATTTTTTCCCAAACTTTATAAATTTCTTTGACAATCTAGAATTTTAAATCATTTTTATTTAAATACATATAAAATATATATATTTACTAATAATTCAAGTTCAGGTCGACCAGTAATTGCCCAACACCAGCAATCAACTGCTCCTTCCATAACAGATGCAGTAAACATTTTTATTGGTAACCATACTATTGCATGAACCATATCTCGATCAAGTGCATTTTCTGGAATAAAAAATTCATAAAAAAATAATTTTTAATAAATCATTTTCATTATTTACCTTTTGGTGTATTAGGACCATTGAGTCCAGAACCAATAGCTGCAAAACGAAGTTCATGTTCATTATCTTCTAGAAAATAAAGATTCAAACAATTAGTTTTCAGTTTTATCAAGTATTTTATTCTACTAACCTGAATCATCAATATTATGAATTAACATTGCTGTTAATTTAAATAATCCATTTCGAAAATTACTATCGACTAAAACAAAAAATATTTTTCAAAATGATGATTTTCTTTGATAAATAAAAATCTCTTACAAATTGCAATTCGTTCTTCAAAATCTAACGCATTTCCTTTATCACTAACAGGTGCTACAATTGACATTCGACGACGACGTTGTTGTAATGATTTATATTTATCAAGTGAACTCAATCGTTTATAAATAGCTGTTTCCATTTGTTCTTTTATTTGAATTAATGCTACTCGATATTCATTCCTATCAAGTCCTTCAACCTAATCATAAAAAAAGAATAATTCATGTACTTTATTTTCTATTTAATAACTTACAAAACCAACTGCAGCATTTCTTTCACCTACTGATACCATATAATCAGCGAAATCAGTTCGATAATATAATTTACTTCCACCGGTTGCTGTCTATTATTAATTTAAAAACAAAAAATTAATTAATATGATAAATAATATTAAATTACATTCGCATCAGCTGCTTTTGAATAAGTACTTAAATATTCCCACATAACCTAAATTAGAAAGGAAATTATAAAAAATAATCCACTTATTAAAACTTACATGTAAGCCTTTATGTTGTCGAGCTGCATTTGAAGTCTTTTTTCCTTTTCCAAGTTTAATCATATATTGCTAAAATAATCAATATTAAGTTTTTTGTTTTTACAAAAATTTAATTCTTATTCTTACTTGAATACATGATTTAAGTAAAGTTGGTGACATCATTAATGCTTGTTCAATAAATGTTCGACCAAAATCCACAAATGCATTAAAGAGTTCCTATTAATATTTTAAATATGTATGATTATTTAAAGAAAAATTTTAATTCAATCAAACAAACCAATCGTTTTTCATGTGTATCAACAAATTGAATTGTATAATTTGTATCTGGTACACGATGATGTGCAGTTACTTTATGTAAATTATCTTCATTTAATGAATAGGATAGAATATTAATTATATTCATCAATGTTTCAATTATAACTGAACTACAGAATAAATGTGGAAAACTAGACAAAACAAAAATAATCAGTTTGATTTTTATATTTAGAAATAAATTCATACGCATTTTTCGATAATAATGAATGAAGATAGAGTTTAGCTTCATCGCGTACTTCAGCACGAACATGAGTTCGTTTAACCATAAAAAATTGACATTGTGTTTTAAGATTTTTATTTCTTTCAGGACTTTTTGGCTAAATTAATAAACATATATACATACATACAACAAATTTCTATAGAAGAAGTAGACAACTATTTAGAATCAATTTGTTTTTACTAGAAGACTAAGCAACTAAAAGAAAATCTCGAAATCAATCAACAAAATTGAGCAGCAAGAAGAGCTACTAAGACATTCTTATACAATGAGTCGTATACCAATTCGTACCAAATATGATTCCATTACCAGATTTTCAACAGGACTTTGTTGATCTTATAGAAAGTTCATATAAGATTGAATTATATTAAATCAGTCTTTTCTTTCTAATGAAAAACTCTCTTTTTTTCGTTAGATTTCATTGATTATTCAGGTCATCTACTATATATATTATCAATCTTACCATTTTCTTCATTTCTTCAACATATATTTCAAAACTTTTTCTTCCAACAGCTGTCATTAATGTCCATAAACCTTTAAAATATTTAAACTGAAGTATTTATTCTATTTTTGAATTTCTTTATACCATATTTATCTTTTAATAAACCAGGATCTTCAAGATATGAAAATATACATTGAAATGCTGATGGGATCATTGAATGACGAACTCTGAATAAATAAATGTATAAAAATATATACTTTTACTAATAAAATCTACCTATATGTTTCTAAATAATATACAGAAAGAGTATAAGCACTTTGTTCAAAACCAAATCTATCAATAAATGGTTTAGCTGATGGATAAGCAGAAAAAACTGTATTTAATTTTGATTTTAATTCATTATTATCTTCCTAAAAACGAATATATATAATTAATATTGTTTATGATTTATAAAATACTTTAGTAATCAGTTCGGGTTTCAATGGCATAGCTGATTTTAATGGTACATATGGACCTGTTTGTGCTACTAATGTTGGTGATTTTGTTGCAATTAATCGAACACAATCATGCCATTCTGATGGCCATGAACCTCGATCAGAATCAGCAAAACCAAATAGTACACAATAGAACCAAAAATGTTGAAATAAACGAAATACACGTTCAGATGGTTCAACAATAACCGATATACGACGCATAACAATAGCTATAACAGGTATCAACACGCCAAGACTACCTGCAGTATTCGATACCTAAATAAATATCAATAAGATACTAAAAGAAATTTCAATAAAACTTTACTTTAAGAGTATTTTTTGTTAATTTTTCACTAACATCTTTTGCTCGTAAACCAAGTTGAACAAATAACTCGAGAATACTAGTTAATAAATTCATTAATTCTACTGAACCTTGAATATTAGCAGCTACATTAGCTAATGCATTGATAACAGCATTTGATGCTTGTCTAAAAAGAAATGTTTTTTTTTCTTCAAATGATTTATTTAGTGATACATACTTATATTTAGTTGTATGTCGTCCTGTTGTTGTTAATGTATTTGTATTATCATAAACATGATAAGTTGAATCAATAATAATTTCTGTAAAAAGTCCAATAATTTCTTCATACGTTGTTTGTGGCTAAAATAAAATAAGAATAATAAAAACTTATTGTTGTTGTTGTTCGTGTTTTATTATTTAAAAGAAATAAAATGCAAAATGAATCAAGATTTTTATAGCTATTTAAAATGAATACCTCATTCGTTGAACAAAGTACATGATTAGAAATTTTTTTCGGAGGTTTTTTATCTTTTCTTTTTAGAAGTTTTTTTCGATCAAAAATAAATTCAACTGGTGTTTGAGTTAATTTTCTGAATGGTAATTTAAATTTTTGAATTAGAAATGGTCTACGAGTAGAAGATTTTATGAAAATGGAATTAACTAATGAAAAATATGATCGTTCAATTAGAAAATTAGATGAATCATTCTAAATAAGAACAACAATTGGAGAAAAACAAAATACATCAGGATACATACGAGACTTGAAATAAGCATACAACCAATTTGATTTATAATAAGAATATCAAGTGGTGATGGTGGATCACCAAGACGTTGTTGAAATCGTGCTAAAATTGATTGTTGAGTATGTTGAACATCTTTTAATGCTACTGCCATATGACCCAATGTAAGAATTGTATTATGAGATACTAATGATGTTTGTCTAAATTAATAAAAACAAAAATAAAATAGATATGGAATTTTATAAAATATGTAATTCATTTCAAGCTGTTTCAATTGAGAACGAACAATGTCAAGTGAATCGATTGTATTCAATATTTTAGACTCAGACGTAAGCGGTACAACGAAGATAATTTAACAAAAAGCGTATCGAAGAGTAAACGAGTGAAATCGTGCTAAATCTACCGAATATCCTAATCATTAATAGTAGTCATCTTTTTAACAATGAAACAGCTTGAAATATCAATAACACTTCAAAAGCAAACGGGCCATTGACATATTTTGTTCGGACAGGAAAAAAGAAGTGTGCAGTCTTAATTATAATTGAACGAAATATATTTATATATCAAAAATTCATATTCAAGCATTCACTATAAAACACAGCAGACAGAAAAAAAAGCCGAGAAAAATGAATAGAATGATATATTCTATTCATCATCTCACTTACAATAAACTTTCATATTTTTCTTTGTTAACACCGTGTCGTATTGACGAACGGCGTTTGAGTGCAGCTGCATCGAGTAGTACAATATTAAACATCCAATTCGAACTGAAAACGTCCATTTATGTATATATATAGAAATAATATGTGACAAAAAAAATAAACAAAAAGCATGCCAAACGTTTATATGTTATAAATTATTTTACCCCACTTCGAACTAATATACTATAAGCTATGAAACTATTTCTTAGAAAATACATACTTATCATTAACATGACCAGACGCAAGTCTTGCAGAAAGTTGAACAAGTAAAGCTTCAACACATTTTGGATTCGAATCCAGAGAAATAAATAATGATCTAAAAGAAATTATTTAGAACATACAACGTTTTCTTCTTTTATTTAACTAACTTGCAAAGTCCTTCAATTGCAGCATCACGTAATTTTTCAAATATTTGAAATGCTCGATATTCTTTGAAAGTTTTTGCTTGTTCATTAAAAAAAAATCCACGTTCTTGTCCATCAATTTTCAAACTCGTATGACGATATAATTTATAAAGCAGTGGTGATGGTTCAGTTAAAAAATCACATAATGCTCGTATAACATATGTTGCTAATGATTTATGTTTTTCTGCTAATCGACTTAATACCTAAAAAATATTTATATATTAAAAAAAACAATAATATATATCTTTTTTTATTACTTCTAATGATGTTACTAATAATGGTATTTGTGCTGCCAATAATTTAATACTTAAAGATTCTTGACTAAATTTTTCTGCACATTTTGTACATAACTTTTCTGCTTCTAAATTATCAGACAAAAAAAACGATTACGATAAAATATTTTAAAAAAGAAAGAATTTGTTTGATTAAAATTAATAAAAGAAAACATTTAAAAAATCAAACGAAGAAATATTGACAAGTTGTTGTGAATATTTTCATCCAATCAGTTCCAAACACTTTTCAAAATTTCTTCGTTTGTTTTTATTTTCTTTTCCGAATAAAATTAACCGTAATATGATTATAAACGTGCTTAAACAACATATACCACCACGTCTTTTATCTGATATTTAACAAAAAAACAAGATGATTAAAAGAAAAAGAAAGCATTAGAAATTAAAAAGAAGAAGAATGATTCAATAATATATTGCCAATATACGTACTGAGTAATCCTGTCATGTGTCTAGGAAGACCTAAGAGTAGTGATTAGTAGGAAATATGTGCAAGGAAAACAAAAGGGTAGGTTTATCTAATTGACATTCTCAAATAATCTACTAGAATTATTGTTCAAATTGTTTACCTATTTCATCATCACATGATAGACAAAGTAATTCAAGTGCTGCTGCATCTGCATCAACACGTGTTCGATAACGATGTGGAATTTTTTCATATTCATCATTATCTAAATCAAGTAATTTTAATGATATCAATTGTTGTACAAATAAATATGTTGATTTTGTTATTGAAGTTATTCGTTCTAAAAATAAAAAATTTCAATATTAAATCGATTATTTTTTAGTTTGTCTTGGATATTTAGTAGAAAATTATCTAGTAATATTAGTGTATTTAATATTACACGTACCCAAATAGTATTTTTTTTTATTACTTTGTTCTAAATAAGTTTACTTCCCTCCTGTACGAAATGAAATCAACTAGGACAATAATATCTAATATTTAACTTACCATTAAATCTTTCAAGTAATTCAAGATTATCACGAAATAATTTTATTATACATAATATAAGTAAATCACCGAAATATGTATAAGGAAAATGACGTGTTGGAGATTTTGACTAAATATAAATAAATTAAATAAAAAATTTTTTCTACTCGAATAAATAAATACATACACTTGGTGTACATATATTTGTTCGACTGATTGAATCATATTCAACAACTGCTACTTTATCCAAATATTTAACAACACGATTATCAATTAATTTTAATGTCTAAAATTTAATTTAATTTATTTTAGAAATTTATATATTAAATTTATTTTACTTCATGTAAATGTTCCAATATAGGTACAGTAACACAAACATGAAATCGATTGGAATTGATATGTGATGAAGAAATGATTCGACGACGATAAGTTGAACCAGAAACGGAAAAGAATAGGGTATTTATTGGAATATCATCATCAAACATTGGCATATCATTACTATCTACCGAACTAGAACAAAAAAACAAATCTTTTTCAATAGTCTAGTTTATTTTTAGGATGTCACGAGTCACATGATAACAAATCAAAACAAAATCTCATATTCGTTTATATTTAGTAGTTATTGACTTTTTAATACCAAGAAGTATTGAGAGCGTCTAAGAGTCACGATGTCTATCGGGAAGGATGTCCTGTATATTATTAGAAACAACTCAAAGATAACATTGAATTTCCGTTAAGAAAAAAAAGCTGAAAACTATGATTACAGTGACATAATAATAACCATTTGTTACAACAAGTTCAAATTTTAGTAAGTCTATAATCAGGATACTTTAAAATCAAAATAGTAGTAAATCTCTTAGGATTTGTTTTTATTCAATACTCTATATAATCTAATAAAATTCTTCTTATCAAATAAGAATCATCAAACAGTTATTGTATTTTTTTGTAAAGATTATAAAATCAATATTAAATATGTTTGTTTTTCCTCGAATACAAAACAAAAAGAAGTAGGTTTATCTGATGTGTGATGATCGAGAAGAAAATTGATTCTATATGACATTGTTCTTTTTTTTTCATTTATTCCCTTGAGAACAATATGATGAATGATTTTGAAATATGTTGAATATATCAAAGTTAAATCTATTTTATCTTTGATTTTGTAATAAATTACTTACGAAAGTGATCGATATGTTGATGTTAGATGATTATATACTGTTGAATAATCTTGTTGTTCACCAGTTGATAAAATATGATTTGTATTTGAATGTGATAATTGTTGTATGTTATCACTTGTTGATGATAGAACATTCTTTGTTAGAACTTTTGGTATTATTGGACGAAATGATATGGTAGGACTTTTAAGATTTGTTGATGAATTTTCTGTTGATGTTATTTGTTCAATATAAATTGAATGTGTAGAAGGTATAAAATTTACTGGATATAATTGTGACATTAAACTTTGATCAGTTATGGATATTCTATAGATAAGATTTAGACATTCTGATAGAAAGAAAGTATTCAATATATAGCTTACCTTCCAATTGCTCGAAGTGCTCCGAATAAAAATGGTACTTCAAATCGATAAATCGATTGATATCTCTCTAGAAAAATAAAGTTTTTTTCATCTTTCATAAATATATTTTACCTTTTGAATGTTCATGTGCTGCTTTACGTAAACCTTCGACTATCTGTCGAATAATTTCCGCGACGAGAAACATTATCTAATTAAAAATTAGATTTAAGAAAAGAAATATAATTCATTGGTTTTGTTTTTACTTTATCTCTCATCTTTGACGTATCTGAAGTAGCTGCTAATTCAGTTAAAGCTGTATGAAGACAAAAACTAAATACTTCAGCAGGCGGTAAAGCTATTTAAAGAAAAAAGAAGATTAATTCCATAACTAAAAATAATCTTTTACCATGTTTATAATTAAATGATGCTACTTCATAATATTTTGCTGTAGGTATTTTTTGATAGAATTCAATTAAAACTTGAACAATATCTTCTCGAATCTTAAATATAAAATAATATTATTTTTTTTTATTAAAAACAAAATTTTTCATACTTTGCATCTATCTGAAAGTTCGACAGCTAAATATGCTAATGAAATAATAACATTTTCTAAACGTTGATCAATTATCAATTTTTGTACTGATTGTAAACGATCACGAATTTGTTTTAATAATGAATTAAGTAGAAAAGATGCACGCTAAAAAAATAAGGATTTGTTCTTTTTTTTATGAATAATTATTAGTTAAAAAATACTTTATTATAAGTTAGTAATTGATCAGGATCATTCGATCTTGAAATTGATCGAACAAATGATAAAAGTGTATTCAGATGATTGGATTCGAGTAACATTATTAATTATGTCAGTTTTAACTGATATATTGATAAACGAAATATACGCATCTTATTGAACATCTTTATTCATTCTTTATTTATTGTTTCCTTTTTTTTCTTCTTTCATTCTATCTTATCTATGATTGAATTTTTTCTTTCACAAATCATATCATTTTCTTAAAGAATAAGCATATTTCATCATCAACTTGTGACATCTATGTTAAAAAGTTAGAATAATTGATATCCCAACAACTGTCACTGATAAGAATAATTATAAAAAATGACATATTAATTAAACATATTGTAAACATCTTTTATTCTCGTAAATGTATTTATCCTATTTAATAATAGAAATATTATCGTTGATTCAATAGTTATGAATTGTTGAAAAAAAAGAAAGAAAGGATATCTATTTTCTAAAACCGGAAGAAAATGTATCATAAAAGAAGAACTTATTTTTAATCGACTACTTATTTCTCAATGACATTTTCCTGTGGTGCTATAGCTCTACATGTTTCGCGTTATTGAAGCTTCACAACAAGACGTCTTAATTCTAAGAAAAAGAAAATAAGCGAAGAAAAACATATTAAGACCCGTTTTTTATGTCTATTTCTTTTATGTAGAGTATATTATTATTTTTTTTTTGAATTCATTTTTTTAGTTTTTAATGAGTAAATTACTCTTGTGTATATACGGGAAATCATATATTTTTCACACAAATTTATTTCGTGATCAAAATCAATTATCTTTTCGAGAAAGAGAAAGGCTAAGTGCACTTCTTCAATTTACATTCTATTATTAACAAAATAAAAAATAATGATTTTGTTCATAAGTAGTTTTCTCATTATATATGAAAATTTATTTTTTTAAATGTAACAAGAATCAAAAAGTCATTTGTACTACATTGACTCTATAATTAGCCATATTTTCCCATGAGGAATTTGACAGGAACGACTGATGATAAGTGTCATTTGCTATAGTTAAATATTACATCTTAACTGACGTTGTTTTTTTTTGATCGGCTAAGAAATAGTTCACTTGTATTTTGGTCACAAAACTCATAATTGATAATGCCTTCTAGGTAAATACTAATATTGTTTATATTAGATTTTAAGTTACAGAATCCTATGTGATAACAACAACAACAACAACAACAACATGAGATAGTTCTTTATTTTATTCCAAAACTGTTCATGTTATTGTAAAATAACAAACGAATAATGACATGAAACACGCACATCAGTGTCAACAGAAAATGCCCTTCTTTTTTTTCTATTGTATGTTTATGAAATGTCAGCACAATTATTTAGGACCACGAATGCAAACGAACGTGCATTGTTCAGTAAAAGAAAAAACGATTACATTGATCAAAAGAGGCAGTCACAGAAACAGAGAGAGAGAGAGAAGAAGAAGAGATAGAAGAGGAAAAGTTGAGAAAAAAAAGTCGATGACTACGCAAACGACAATAAAGATTGGAACCAAAAGAAATAAGCATGACGTGTATATATTTCGAACCTGTCTGTCATCGATGAATATTACTAACATTTTACCAGAAAGAAGAGAGTGAAAGAGAGCGGGGGTAGAACAAAGCGCCTTGAGGCGGAAATCATGGATGGCACGGAGAGAAAAAGTGTGTAGCAATGATAGCCGAAGAAAAAAAAGGAGACATTCTCTCTTTTTTTCTCTTATCGACATAGTCAACCTATGTATGTATACAATTATATATATATGTGTGTGTATATATTATATATATATATATATAAACGTCATGAGTTTATCAAGTTACATAGATGTACATCTCGATTTTTTAGGTCACATATGTATAACTAAACTAATCTATTAAGCATTTTCTGATATATGTATTATGATATGATCTTCTAAAATATCATTACTAAGTCTGTTTTTCTTCTTATGTTATTGTACATATTTGCTTTTGTTTTCTAGAAAAAATAAAAGATGTTATATCGTAATGAGGTCAAAGTTAAATCTCCTATATCAATCTTTATTTAATGTTATTCATTAGTTTTAATAGGAGTCAATATATATATTTCTTATCAATTAAATATTATCAATGCGTTCTACCTCAAATTCTCTTACCATTACACGATCTTTCATACGTCCACATCGTATTTATTCAAGCATAATATCAAATACAACACTAACACCATCAACAACAACAAGTATATCATTAACAGCATCAGTAATACAAACCATTGTTGAGCAACCAAGTGATATTTATGATTCAAGTATAACAAAACCATTTGCATTGGTTTGTTTATTTATTGGATCTGTTGGAAATTCATTATCATTTATTGTTTTTACTCAAAAACAATTACGTCGATATTCTACATTTCGTTATTTAGCTTATTTATCAATTATTGATCTTATTGTATTATATTTAGGTTTAGGAAATATTATTTTACGTGATTATTTTTTATTTGATATACGAGTACAAAATTTATTTCTCTGTAAATTTCATACATTTTTTACATATGTAACAACACAATTATCATCATGGATATTAACGATTGTTTCAATTGATCGTGCTATTGCATGTACAGTTATACAATTAAATAAACGTATATGTCGACCAAAATCAGCCGATCAAATCTTTTTTGGTATGTGTATAATTGCTTGTTTAATGAATAGTCATATTTTATTATTTATGGGTTCAAAACGTACATTAAATCATTTATCTATTGAAAATACATCATTAGAACAAACTATTATTGTATGTACTCATAATACATCAAGTACTTATTTTAAATTCTTTGAAAAACCTTATAATATAATTGATCTTTTATCCTATGTACTTATTCCATTCATTATAATGACAATATGTGCTAGTATAATAGCCTATCGTCTATTTTTTTCATTCAGTCATACAACAATGCATATAGCAATTAAAGGTAAAACCCGTAATGGAACACGACGTGCAAAGCAAATATCTTATATGTTATTAATATTAAATTTAGTATTTGTTATATTATTAACACCTGTTGTTCTTGGTCAAATATTTCAAGAACTTAACGAAGAACATCGTTATCGTTTGTATAATTCTATAACATTATTAATGTCATATTCTAACCATGCATTAAATTTTGTTCTCTATGGAATAGCATCACCACAATTTCGTTTAACATTAAGACAATTATTAGGTCTTGGAAATACTGAAGTATTACAAAGACGTTTACAAACATACGGTTACTATACTTCAACAGGTTTTTAAAGTTTATTATATAACAAAAAAAATAATAAATAAATTTTCACAAAAAAAAAGTTTATGATAGAATACGAATTTTTTTTTCTAATGTTACTGGTGGTTGTAAATAATCTCGACAAATTGAATTTAATGCTTCAAGTGCTATTTGTGCATGTAGACGTACTATATCATCTTTATCAGTTTTATAAAGATGATTAATTAATTGATAAAATGATGGTAGTTCACTGCCGAGTACTGTTAACCATGTTGATTGCTCAAGTGATTGACATAGAAGTTCACAAACAAGAATTGATGCACGTCGTACATCACAAGATTCAAATATTGATAGATAACTCTTTAAAGCAATTAAGATCTAATGAAGAAAAGTAATAAAGATTTATGTTTTTTTTTTTAGAAAATATTTTACTTCAGAAAGATCTTTTGAAAGTGAATATTTTAGAACAGTACATAGTTGACCAAGATTTGATAATGCACTTGCACGATATATATCATCATCGATTTGTCTTGAAGCATTTAGGAATGTATTGATTAATAACGATGAATATTTTGTTGACATATCACCTTGAAAATAATAAACTTTAGTAAGTCATCGTCAACAACAGCGCAACATGAGGCGTATTCACCTTCAGTTTGTATTAGACAAAAAATTGAGTAGAGACTTAACTTTAACCATCTATGTTATTATTATCATCTTTTCTTTCATGTCACTAGTTGATATGAAATTATATCCATGATTAGAAAACGTAGAGATATTCTCACTGTCATAGTTTGTCATTTAGAAAACTAATTATCTGTAAAGTAATCTCATATCAAATCTGCCAGAAGATTTTCTATATTTTAATTAAATTCTTACCTAGTATTCGACATGTTTTAACTAGAATTTCTCCAACTTTTAATTTATCTTCTAATTTTCGATTTTTATTTATATATTCATTACAAAGTTTTGGTAAAATTTCATCTGTATATTGATTTGCTAATACACAAAGAACATTAATAGCTGCTAAATATTCATAGGAATCTTCTGCATGCAAATGTTGTTGAAAATGTTTTAATAAACTTAAATTTTTATCTTGAATTTTTAATAATGTTTCTTTATCGGATCGTTCAATTAAACGTCGAAATAATATTAAACCATGTGCTCGTATTGGTATACTTGGATCGGATAAACAAGCAAAAGCATTTTCATATGTTTCAGCACGTAAATCACGTTCATTATTTATTTCTTCTATTAATAAATTTGATTTGATTTCATTGGAAATTTCTTTAACAGCACCAAATGTTACGAAAGCCATTGATAATTCATGAGCTAATTGACATAGTTCAGTATTTGAATGATTCTGTTCAATCCATACGAATGATGAATAAAGTGAAGCAAGAATTTGTTTATTCTCAGATGATAACTTAAAAATATAATAATAATAATAACATATTTATGGATACAAAAAAATTTACTTGATCATAATGTGTTATTAATAATGATGCAATAGTAAAAATAATTTGTAATGCTTCATTATCAGATGATAGATCTTCCTCTTCTTCTTCACCATCATCTTCATCGGTTGTTTTAATCAAAAATTTATTTTTTGATTTTTCTTGAGATGTTTTGGTTATTTTTTCAAGAATAATCTAGAATAAATTTGAATATTATTGCAAAAAAAAACTTCGTTTGTTTTTTTTCTAATAGGATAGATGGTTATTCATTTCCATGCATTAAGTAATGAACACTTAGCTGTTTATTTACTGTGAATCTCTCTAAGTGAGTAGCTCTTTCATTCTAAGCACTATTCAATAACTATAAAAGAGTATCTCTTTTAAGAATTAATACTGTAGATTGATTTTAATTTTAAATTAGAAATTATTTCTGATGTAGATAAAAGTAAAATCAATTATTTAGAAATCAGTTATGATAAATGGATATTTAATAAAGTTTAATACTGGTATACTCTATCATATCTTAAAAATAGTTTTGTTATGATAGCTATTTTTAGATATGCTCATAGAAATTGTATATTACTATATTGAATAACTCTGTTTCCTTTAAAAATGTCATTTCTATTTATAATTTCTTCATAAATATAGGGTAATCAAAGCTTAGCTTATAATAAGAGATTTAAATAGCCTATCCTTTAATTATAATTAAATTTATATCAATATTACTGCTACATGATAATTAACATGTAGAGTTTCTATACGGATATTCCTTCTGAATATATTCTTGATTTATACCTGAATAACTTTAATTGTATCATCAACATTTTTAATGAATATATCAATATGTTCTGTTAAATATTCCATAATATATTTTAAGATTTCCATAATTTTTAATTGTTTTATATTTGTTTGTTTTTCATTTTCTGTCCAAATAAATGATTGATTTAAATTTTTATCTGTTACTAATAATTGTAATAAATGAAGAAAGAATTTAACAACCAATCTTTCGTTATTTTCAATAGAAAATAATAATTTAATTATTAATTGACAAAATATTTCTAATGAATATTCCGAAGTTTTTTCAAGAATTAAATTAAAATTTGATGAATCATTTGGAAGAAATTTTAATGAAAAAAAATTCATATGAAATAAAAATTTTTCAAAATAATCAATACATATTTCCATATCAATCGATGAGAATAGAATTGTTAAAATATTAAAAAATTTTATTTTTAATACTGATAATGATTGTTCTAATGCAAGATAAATATTAATAAATTCTTTTAAATAATTTTCATATAAATAAATTCGTATTTGTTCATATGAATTTATACTTATTAAATTATATAAATCATCTATAAATAAATTCAATTGTTCTTCTGTACATATTTGTTCACTTAAAGGATTTTGACATGAGATTAAAGGTTGAAATAAATTGGAGAAAATTTCCTTTTCAATTACTTTTGGATATTTTTTAAATAATTGATTTATTGATATACATATTATAGGCATATAACGTTTATCATGAATAAGTTCAATTAATTGAAATTTAATACGTTGAATATATTCTTCAGGTTGAATATCTTTCGGACATGTTGAAAGTATTTGTGACATTGAGGTATATAAACGATCATTCGGTGTTGTTGAATCAAAAATTGTTTGAAATATTTGACGTATACCATGATTATTTGGGTGAATTAATATTGATGTTAAAATATCTCCACAACGTTTTTTAAGCCAACTAGGACTATTAATTGTTGTTGATAATAATCGATTTAAGAGCATAACTTGTTGTATGAATAGATTGGAAAAATTTGTTTGAAGATAAAGAAGATTTTCGGATGAAAATTCTATTTGAGAATATTTTAAATTTGGTGAATAAAGTAATTGTAAATGACTTAGAATAATTTCTAATAAATGATAAGTACATAAACGTTGTGTAATATAAGAATTTATATTTGTAGTTTTTATCCATTTCATAAAACAATTTAATGTTTCATGAAGATAAAACATTCGATCATGATGTGTTAAATTTGTTTTAAGTTTTAGAAAATGAATTGATGTAATAGAATTTTTGAGATAATTTTCTATGGATAAATAAATACCTTCATCAAAATAAAGAACTAAACCAAGAAAAATAACAAATGATAATGAACGAGAAAGTATCGATTCATCTTGAATACTAAATAATGGAATATGTGATGAAAGATGTGTTTGTTCATATGAAAGAAGTTTTTCAAGAAGAGTTAAATGAATTTGTAAATAACGATAATATGCTGGTTGATCATTGTTTAGTGATATGTTTAAATCAAGTGAAGTACTAGTTTCTAGAAAACGTTCACAAGCATTGGAAAAGATTAGATTAATAGTTAAAATTTGTTGTTGTTCTTCGTCTTGAGCAGAAACTACAAAGAGAAAAATTCATTAAATTGAAGAATTTTTAATTTAGTTTACTTTTTACTGTTGATATTGGTTTCATTAAATCATCTAAAAGTGATAATACTTGACGATGATCGAATGCCATTTTAACTTATATGTGAATCTAATAAGAACTAATAGTTAATGTTAAAAATAATAGTTTCAATGATCGTTGATCATTTATAGAAATCAGATATTAATAATTCGTGGATTTCCAAAACAGTCCATTTAGAATCTATGTACATTTAGTGAGGACGCCACATACCTACACACTTTTTTTTTGACAATTCTTGAGTGTGAGGGTGTGAATAAAAAGATAAATGCACATTCACACTCACCCTTCCTATACGCGGAAGTCCTCAAAAAAATTGCTTAGAATATTCATAGTTGTCTGAGTGCATATTTATAAACAGACATGGTTGTGAATGTTGATTTCTTCAGAATATATGTAAATTATTCCAAAATTTTACTCTCTTATATTACACATATCATTTGTAAGATGTCACAGAATGAATAATCGGTAAAAGATAATGGAAAGTTTACTAACTGTATATATTAGCAATTAACTCTCGATAGAAATGAATACTCAATCATATCGAATATGTTAACATCTTAAATAAATGTTAGAAAAAGACTCATTAAATTCAAAATTTTTTAGTTATATTTGAACAATAAAAGTGAAATTAAGAATCTTGACGAACGGTTGCTTATTAATTTATAATAAAAATTTAATGAAAATTATATTTTCAGTTGTTCACCAATTGTAAAGATATTCAGCGTTAGACGGCGTATGACTAATGTCAAAATAGGAGTAGTATGGAACAACTGATTAACTACCTCCTCCACAACCACCTCCACCACCACAACCGCCTCCACCACCACAACTGCTGCCACCACCATGATGACCGCCTCCTTCACCACCGTGATGACCGCCTCCTCCATCGTGATGTTGGTGATGACCACTTCCTCCATCGTGATGATGATGATGACCACCGATCGGATTTGAAGAACCGTATGAATATGGAGCATATTCAGGTTGTGGACGTGAAGACGGGCTAGAATTCCTTCTTTTATGTTGTGGACGTGGAGACTCGCGAGAGCCTCTTCTCTTGTGATGTGGAGATTTGAGATGATCGCGAAGCCAACTAAACATTTTCTTGTTTTATTTGATGTGAATAATAATAACGATACGTTTTATATATTGATGAAGACTAACTATGCGGGATTTGATCACGTCATTATACGCTTCATTGTTTCTTATTGCATTAAATAAAATATACAATAAGTAATGACGTTATTATTCACGTGTTGTACAGATAACGTACAGAAATAGGGCGATAAAGATTCATTTTTGTTTACTTATCCAGTCATATTCATTAATGAATACAATCTCATTAGAATGCAAAACAAGAAGCTTATTCTTGCGTGAATGCGTCCTACATTTGACTGTCAACATGACCGATTAAACCTATTTTATCGTGAAACTTCTTTTCCTTCTAAACAATCTGTAATATTAATAATTAAGAAAAAACTCATATTCGAATATGATGCATCGATGAGTCAACGTCTCTGAAGATAGTCACACAAAGAAGAAAAAAGAATCATAACTTATCATTTTGAAACATGCCTCTAGATTCTTCTACTGTATAGCTTGCAAATCAATATTATTGAAATATACAAGTACCATCAGAGATTAGTTTCATATGACCTACTATCAATAAAAAGCTTAATTATAATAACAATTGTTTGTGATGTCTTATTTTAATAATACACTTTTCTTTTATTACCCAAAAAAACTAGTTATGTAGTCAAATATGACAAATTTCAGTGCTACTTTATTTATTATGAAATAATAGTACAACGAATTTTAACTAACAAAACAGTATATTCTCGATGAAGAAAAACGGCGAAAACAGTCATGTAGAAGGGTGTGGGTGCTAGATGAACACAGTATCCACAACCACAGTCACACCTACACCCCAATCTAGCTGTGCTAAAATCTGAAAATACCGCTAAAAATCTTCTGACAAATTCATAATAATCTTGAAAATTTGCAGAAATCTTTCGAATCGTTTTTGTAGTCCTAGTCTATGAAATTCTTTTAGACCTAATGGAAGACATCTTCCAGAAGCTCCAAGTGATAGACATATTAGAAGCCCATGGGGACTGTTAATATGAGGGAAGGGGTTACTTCAATTCTAACGTCGTTTAATGCATAAAAAATGAGAAAAAAGAGGATTATCACAACCAGATATATGTAGTAGTAACCCAGGTAGTGTGAAACCAGCATCATATTCAATTTTCTGAAATTTCAGAAGATCAGATCTCGTAGTGAAAAGTCTGGTCGCAAAACAAGATATGATTTTTGGAAAAATACAAGTTCTGATTCACAAAGCTTGATTTCATACTGTGAATCTATACGATACTTCTATATTTTTTGTAAAAATAAGATATTTCGAACATTTCGACTTCTTTCCATTATTTTAATTATCTTCAGCTTTTGTTTCTAAGAATACTCATTTTTTGCGGCATGGTATGGATCAGTACCGAGAGTTATTTGCGAAATTATAAACCAGTCTGGTCGGTAAACTGATCGATTGAAATGACATGTTATACTGAAGAAATTCTGATGAAACAGATCAAAAACCAGTGAAAGAATCTCAAACTCTTTTGTAAAACAATTTTTATAGAAAAATGGACCCACATATGAGATACACCTATGGACAAAACTCTATTCTCTCTCTTTATTTGTGTGCTATCATAATTTGTATAAAACTTTATACCAAGTAGAGATATAACTTGAGAGTTGTAACTTTGTACAAAATTTATTGCCGGGTAGAGATATAACCTGAGAGTTTTAGTGTATTGTAATCTGCATACCATACTGAAATAAAACTCTCAAGTCATATCTCTACTCGACAATAAATTTTATACAAAGTATGCTTGCAGAGAAACAAAGAAAGGAAAGATTTTTGTGTGAGGGTGTACTTTCGGGGAGCATGTATACAATATGCAACAAAAACCATCTTTTTAAAGTAAATCTCACAACAAATAATTAAATAACCTGTGCTTTGTCCCCTTTTTATCAACTCTACCAGAAATTAATGCGGTATCTTAGTTTTTTATGGCCAGAAACACAATCGACAAAGAAGGCTTTTGAAAAATCCAACCCATAAAATTCCCATGTCTAGAGCAGTGATCCTACTCCGCAATATTGAATATTCCAGGATTCAGTTTTGCCCCGGAATCGATTCTGGTGCGGAACTGATTCCTGAAATATTCAACAATGTGGTATAGAATGTATTCTCCGGTGAAAAGCTTTGCTTTTTCGCAAGTGAAGTACGTAACTCTGTCGCATTTTCCTTCTGATTTCGAGAGAAAGTTACCTGATTCTTTTCCTAATTTTGTAAGAAAAGTCTCCTGATCAACTCCTGTCTTTTGATAAAAAAAACCCTGATTTTTAAGATTTCGATTTGGCAATCCTGCTCTTCACAGTTATCTCCTTATCTTGTGACGTTAGCTAACCCAGTTAATATCGACGTCGTTTTCCTTTCATCAATATATCTGTTGAGAATACTCGAAAACAGTAACAATTCAAAAAAAAAGCGGGACATATGAATGAATAAAGTAGTAGAGCGCAATTGAGAAGGGAAATACGCAATGAATAGAAAACGCTCGTTGAGGGAACTTGCTGTACCTTCGGGTGATCTTTGCCTGAGAAACCTGAAACTTTGTTTTCATACTACAACTTGTTTGATTCACTATCTGGAGTCTAAGTGCGATCGCCTTTCTCGCCCAAGCATGAGCACTAATGATGTCATCTGTCTTGTTATTATGCACAGGATTTTTTCCTACTTACTCCAATTGTCGTTAGTTGGATATTTCCAATCTCTATATAATCTCTCATTCTTGTCGACTAGATAAAATCGCGTATCTATAAAGAAGGAAGACTAGAGTGAAAGGTAGTCTTCAGAAACGTCGTGAATGGCAGACAAATTCGAAGTACCCGTAGTCGATGGCACAATAGCAGCGCAAGCCGCACTCGAACAAAAGAATGAAATCGTCGCACTTAATGATACAGACGGCTCATGGAAGTTGGATTTAGGTAAGGGTTTTCACACGCAATGGGAACAGATTACAGCATTATTAACTACCAGTTTGGATGAAGATGCTGTTGAGGCCTCTAGTCACGGTGGTAATTCATCGATAAATGATGCGGCTGATATAACAGAAGAAAAAGTTTTCATCATTAGTCTTCTGGGTAATACATCAAGTGGTAAAAGTTTTATAACGCGATGCTTACTCAGTGACTCGGAAGACACTGATTTGGTCAATGGTCCAGTGTGTATCGATGAAGCAGAGAAAAAAGGTGCCACAACAACCAACATAAATTGTTACTTGAAAAAGTTCACGAACAATCAAAAGACTATTGTCTTGGACTATGAAGGTGAAAAGGGTTCTGGATTTCCCTTGCTACAGTTTGCTCAGCAACGTCTTGCACGTGTGTCACGAACTGCAGAAAAGGCACAACAGCGTCGACAAGCCGTCACGGATTATTTCCCCAAACTCGCCTATATCCTCAGTAACGTCGTCATTCTCATAGGCAATGATGATCTGGCGTCCACTGATTATTTGACTCGTTGTCGTGAGTTTGCCTTGAAAGCAAATGATGGAGTCAATCATATGGTCAATCCACCAATGCTCATTATTATTCAAAACAAAGGATCTGTAGTTCAATCGCAGAATTACGAAGAGATCACCAAAAAATTCTTTGATATCCACGGACAGGAGGCAGCTGTTTTGGAACGCTATTTCTCTGACATTAAATGCTTCTGTTTACCGCATCGGGCACAACTTCAACGGACTAAAAACGGCCTCAAGGACGGCCAAGTTATTTTTAATCAACAAATAGTCGGCATGAAAGAAATCTTTTTGAAAAGTTATAATGACAGTTTAGAACGAGCACTGACGAATGCCCAATGGTTATATCTGCTTCAACGTGTTTTACCCATAGTTCAACAAGGCGAATCAGTTTCGTTACATACACTTCTTAGTGAAATTGTCGCCCCTGACGGTGAAAAAATGATCGATATAAGTCGTCGTTGCTTCTTGTATGCTTATGAAAAGCAGGCGATTCATTCGCCTGCATGGTTTTACTGTTGCTGTTACTTCGCTATTCGTGTAATGACTCATTTTCTTGCGGTGCAAAATTATCATCGACAGGAACTGATGTCGGAATGCGTTGTCAGTGAACAGTGTGATAAGGCCTTGAGCGAACTGTCGAAAAAACTCGATGAATTCCAGCCATGTGAAGCACTCTACAGTGGAAAAGGCCGTTCATCGAAAAAGAACGATACTGAGAAGCGTATTTACTGTTACCAACACAAAGGTGCCCACAGAGATGGTCATCGAACATGTCAATCGGTGTATGGGTTAACTCGGTTGAGCGAGTTTTTTGGTTGGAGTTTGACGGATATCTGGCAAGGTGACTTCATCTCTTCGACGAAAAATAAGTTTAAAAATACAATCTTCCCAAAAGCTATGGTCAAGGATATGTCAAGTATGATAAAAGATCTAGTGACCATCTTTCGACAAGACCAATATGCTGTGTATGATATGTTTGCTGTACTATTAAATGAGCAATTCAGCGAAAAATCGCCGATGATTTTTAGACGTATTTGCTTTCATCCGCTAAAACCAGCTTCACCTTTAGGCGGCTCGCTTCGACTTGATAACGATCAGAGACATACACTTAGTCGCCGATTACTGTATCAACAGTCTTTGGCCGAATTATTTTTAAAGTCTGTCAAGGCAACTATCAATGGCTTTGGTTCATGTGACGAGTGTCAAGAAAAGCTCCATGCTTCATGGAACAGATTATTATCAATCCCTCGTCCACCACCTGCTCAGATTTCTCAAGTGGCAGTCGAAGAGGTACAGGGTTGTGCCATCTGTTTCGATGGTCTTCGCAATTTCCTCCTCATCCCTTGCGGTCATCGGGGTTACTGCGAAAAATGTGCTGACGAGATTCTTCGCGAGGCAGGCTATTGCCCATTTTGCCGGGCACCGGTTAGTGCAAAACAGCGCGTGATTGATGTTTGACATTTTTTTATATCCTAAATTATCAAAACTAGTTCAGAGATTTCCTGCGAATAAACAAGATGAATTGCTAATTGATATTCGATTCATTAGATAGGTGACATATCCAAACTGACTAATTTCGGCGACGTGAGTGTCGGCGGATAATAGTGTGGGTCTCGGGATTCATCTCTCTCTCTAAACTTCGCTCCTCCATTTTGTGATGGTTGCTATTGTAGACGACATCTAATGAATGACACACTGTCACCATATGGAGTTTCAGCACTTCATGAAAGTAAAGACGAGGTACGATAAAAGGGGGTAAATATGGTGGGTGTGGATGTTGGTTTCGATGTGGATGCGGATGTAGATGTTATTGAATCCATCCACATCTAATGAATTAAGAGAAAATGAAACAAGAGATCTTTCTGACGTTTCAAGAAACAATAAAGTAAGATTTAGAACTCTTTCTTTCTCAATCTTATTTTTTAATTTTATACGGACATTAACAGAATTAAATCTTACTTACAACGAAATCAGAGATACTGCAATACAATGCTTAGCTAATGTCTTATACAATAATGCGGCAAGACTTTTAACTCTTTCTCATGTTTGTTTTAAATCTTTTCTTGGACGCTGGCAACATTAATTCGTAAGGATTCCAAAACTGGATGTTTTGGAGCGTAATATGTAGCTAATGTCTTAAGAAACAATAAAGTTATTTCTTTCATTGACGATCTTAATTTTCATCGATATTAAACTATTTATTTAAATACTTCTTACACTTAATATTAAATCAAATCCCATTCAAGATATTTGTACACAACACCTAGCTTCTGCAGTAAAAAATAACCAAATAAGAAACTTTATTTAATCATTTCATATTTGAACTATTGTACTTAGACATTACAAATATTGAAAGCTGATAATTATCAAGTTTCGAATAAACTAAGAAATCGCTTGACAACCGAAGATTAAAGATGATGTTTTACGATAGAATGTCGTATTTCTTTTGATGAATGTAAATATGGTTATTATGAATCGAAATAATGTTTAATCAGTTTATTTGCATCATAATAAGACAATTATATCATAGATTCAATATTGAAAACTAATACATTATTTTTCATTTTATCATTTTAAATAAATCGAGAAACTGAAAACGAAAATGTTCTTATGTAGTCAAATTAATTTTGAAAAGCATGTTTTGCTTAAATTTAAATGACAGAATAACAGGAATTTTATTGATATGAAACAATTTCTTTTTCATAATAATGACATGAGAAATAATCATTTGTTAAGCAGAAAGAAAATTTACATTTATACTTGATATGATTTCCATTATTCTATTGTTTATAACTAAAATGATTCATATGACGTTTTGTCAGCAGAATATTGTATTGTTATCTTATCATGATGTATACACTTCAGCATACGAATAAAAATAACTAGGAATAAATGAGCTGGGAAACACATAGTTTTATAAGTCGTGTTTGAAAATAAAAAGAGATTGGATTTTTTACTGTAGTTATCGTTATAGATATTGTTTTATAGAAAAATCGATATGTCAATTATTATTACATTCCAGAAGTGTATTTATCTTTCTTCTACCCAGAGAGGGAAAAAAATGAAAAATTTGTCGCATGGCAATGCACATTTTAACGTAGAAAGAGGAAAATTTTATTCGTTTGAATGTAAGTCTATAATTTAAGCGTTAGTTGATTGCAGATAAACTGAAATCATTAAATAACAATGCCCGATCGACGTGGTAAGAATATTTTTTATCACTAAAACTTTATTCATAGTTTAAGAACATTTATTTCTATATTTCTATAGGTAAATCAGAGAAAAGAAGACAAACTAGAGAACAGAATAAGCATAATTCCGAACGAAAAGAAAGAAGTATAAGATTTTTTATCATTAATTTTGTCTATTTTATTATTTTTTTCCAAAAGATAACGATGATCGAATAAATTCAATCGATTGGTCAGTCGTAGATTATGATGATGAGAATGACTTTGATGAGTGCTTTTCTGATGATTATGGAATATCAAATAAATCTACAACAAGTAAAAGTCAACGTTTTATCACCACTCGGAATTGTCAACACAATATCAAAACAAAATCATCTGCAGAGACAAAGACTGAATATTATTTTCATGATCGTCAACCACCTAGTCGAATATTTAAGTAAATATTTTACTGAAAATAGACATTAACTATTCTTTTGTGTAGTATCTTTCCTAATATGAAATCCAAAACTGAAGTAATGAAACTTTTGAAAGGAATTCAAGATGAAGAAGAACGTTATTGTCAACCAAAAGACGAATATGAAAATAGAACAACAACGAAAATACTGAATCCATTTCCTCGGCAACCTATTATTGAACATTTTAAACGAGGTAAGATGAAATTTTTTCTCAATTTGTTTCTATCCAATATATCTAGTGAATTATACAAATTTTGATACAAAAGATGGAAAACAAATACTAAAATACTTAGAAAAACCAATTTTAAGAACATTCCAATATGGTGTTTTACTGTTCAATTCAGAAAAACAAGTAAACTTCAACAATTATTTCATAGTTCTTCACAAAGATTGCATTAAATTATCGTTTTTAGATCTTCATTGTTCAAAATCATGATGGCATTTGGAATGCTCCTATGAGTCATCGAAAAATTAATCAAAATTTGCAGTTGGAAACAATTAACGAAACCGTTTATCGTGCATTCAATGAACAAATCTGTGCTAAACATCAACTAACCGACGAAATATTTGAATCTTATGATCTTCAAGAGCAACAACATTTGAATTCACATAAATATATTGAAAATGATCAAACTGAACTGATTGGATTATTTATCAGTGAATTTGATGATCCTATCATTGAATTTGAATTACGTGATACATATGTAAATCAAGTACGTTCATTCGATTGAAAGATATTCAAATATATGTATTGATCTTTGAGGCATGCCAATGGATCTCCATAGATGATGTTATCAAACATGTGCCGGAAAATCAACTTGATGTATATGGCATTCTTCGATCATTTGTAGAGTATGTTTAATATCTATTCTAATGATTGTTGAAAGAATCTTAGATTTTAATAGACATATTCAACGTGGTACAGATTTGAATAAAACAAATTCGAACAATGATGTAAGCGCTACTATTACTACTTTGAATATAAATACAGGTATTTTATATGTTTTCTTTTATGAGTCTATTATATATTTTTTCTTAGCTCCACTAAAAAGATTTTTATCAATTCGTGATGCAATTTTTGATCGTGCTCAACAATGTCTTCAATTTGAAAATGAATATAATCAAGCTTTGGATGAAAATCTCTCTGGTACATTACTTAATAATTATGCACCTAAAATTCTCGGATCATCCAATTTTAAGTTACATGTTCATGAAGATCATCTAAACATCTATCAATATGAAAAATGTATCTTAGAAAAACTTCAAATTCCATATTACAATCAACCAAAACTAAATTCAATGTTTCCACATCGGATACATAATGGAGTTATTCCTCAAGCAAAAAAGACTTCTATTCTACCTATTCTAATCATGGCTCAACGTTATAAAGTTGATATTCATAAATATCATATCATATGCGAAAGAAATTCATTGCGAAATATTGCTATGAATGAAAACCCATATGTAATGGGTGTGAAAAAAATTGGTAAAACATTATTTCTTAGACGCCATGATAAACGATTTGTAGATAAAAATCAAGCTGGATATCGATTTGAGCAGATGTGCATACGTGGATACAATAGTAGTACTTGTTTTAAACAATTAGTTGAAGGAAATATTGGTACTTTTAAAACATTAATAACTGCAGAAACTGATGCAATTGATGAACAAACTCACCAAGCAATCGAACTGAAAAGTCGATATAATACTATTGATATTTATGATCAAGAAGATAGCTGGTTACAAACATTTCTCAGTAAGTTTACGAAAATCTTTACATCGTTTCGAAAATATAATTTATTTTAGGTGATACAAAGACAATCATTGTTGGTAAACGTACAAGTGAAGAACCGCCGCGACTTGTGAATCTTCATGAATATAATGTTTCAAGTATTAGCGATGATAAAGTTAAAAACAAAATTCTTCTACATCTCTATCGAGTATTAGATTTTCTTCAGCAAAATGTTAAACAAGATGGAATTTATTTACTTTCTCGTCATTATGATCCAAATCTTGAGAATCATAATTTATATCTTTATAAAGTAGCTGAACAAGATGAACAAGAATTGACATTTATTACACAACAGATACTTGCTCAATTAGGTTTCAGATTTTAGATTATACTATAATAACATCTATACAATATTTGTAAATATAAATCGAACTCAACGATATACTGAATAAATAAAATGACTTTTTTTCACAAGGGTTTCTATACAGAACAAGCTTTTATATAGATAAAAATTAATTTAGCAATAAAGGAAAATACCAAGTGCTAGGTGAATGCAATATTCATACTCTCAACACACCCCGTGTCGAATATTAACAAATGCATCGAAATCGAATAAAACAACGACGACCCATACGTTTCAATGCATGGCGATAAAATGAACCTGTCAACGTATAAAGATAGAATGAAGTTGAATGTGTAATACAAATAAGAAGTACAATTAATGAATAAATTAGATTTTCAATTGCAACACGATATGAACTTTTTGTAACATCAGATGTTAAACTCGCATAAGCTCGATAAATTCCAAAGGGCAAATCCAAAACAAGAACAACAAATACCTAAATAAACAATTCAATTAAATATCTATAGATACAAAAGGAAGAGTTTTTTTTACTTGAATCAATACCATTCGAGTAAGATTTCGATCATTGAGTCTTATTAACAATCGACTATTGATACAATTTTGAACACTTCTCACAGGATAAACAACTCTCGATCGAATATTTCGAATTGTTAACAAACCAAATATTGCTAAACAAATACTTGGTAGAATTATATCAAATAATAAAGCAGCCCAATCATTATATAATCGACAAGGAATATTTCGACCATAACAAAGAACAGGAACATTTGGAATACTTCCTTCAAAACAATAAACAACTTCAATAAATAATAAGAGAAATAAAACAAATATTCCAAGAATAAAACGTTTTGCCATTTGATTTGTACTGAATTGACGCAATGTAATTGAGGAATGACTACAAAAATATCGATCAATATTTGCACCAACAAGACACCAAATACCCATTGGCCAAGTAACATTGAGAAATAGTTGACGAATTTTACAAGCAATATCATTTTCATTTGGCCAATTGACATTATAACTAAAATTTAATTTCAATAACAGATTTTCTTTTATAAAGAAATGAAAGAACGAACCCTTGTAAAACTCGAGTTAAAAATCCTGACCAAATGAAGATCAAACTTGTGATTGATGACCATGAAAGATAAATTGAACAAGGGTTTTGTTGAAATGAACGTTCAGTTAATACACAAATATTAAGGAGATTGCCAATAGTTCCAAATAAAAGTAATAAGGCAGCTGCATGACGATTGATTTGCATTGTTGCATAGCTAAGAGAAGAAATGAAATCAAGATCGGATGACATTTCATAAAAGTTGATTAATGAACCAATCTTATTTGAAGAATATTTTACTTGATTTTTATATAGAAAAGATTAATGAAATCATTTTTAGCACGAGAGCACAATTAGAGTAGAAAGAAATAGAATTAAGTGGATTGAACAGGATGATTATCCAGCTGCCGACAAAGGGTCTATGAAAAGTGAGAGTTACTTTTTTCCATTTCTTCTATCGTTTTTTAAGAACGTTTTTATTCCACTTTCTTTAGATTAATGAGAAAAATTTTCATCGTTATTCACTTCAAAAGAAATAAACATCAACATAATTATTAGGTACAAATGATGTGACTAAATTTAGATGTATTACCAATAGTATTAATGAAGCGTATTTTTATTCTCAGGAGAAACAAGTACAAATGAATTAATCATGGTGATAGATCAAAATCTTTAAATTATTCTTTGATAATATTGTCTTTTGTAAATTTATATCGATGAATAAACGATAGATATATTGCAGAGAATGAAAGTATTCTGCTCTAGTAACATCTTTCGCTCTTCTAGTTTAATTAGTAGACATAGATAAGCCAATAAACTGTGAAAAGAGATGATCTAAGTCTATCTGAAACACGCATGCATCCGTTTATTTGGATTCATCAGCAAAAGATGGGTTATTGGATGAATGGCGGTGTCACAAATATATTTTTGTCTTTATTTAAACTGATATTCAACAAATAAAAAATTATTCTCATTTATGGAAGCTGTCGAAGGAGACAATTCTGACATGTTTTTTTATAAATGCTACCCAACAGCTAGTTCGTGTGCAAGATGGCAAACATCCGGAATGGGTTTTATTTCATCATGGTTCATTGTTTATTCAAACAATGCCGAATAACCAAGAAACACCAACAGATGAATTAATCAATAAAGCTAAGAAAAGTTTATCAAAAGTTATTATTGCACCTCGTACCGTCTTTGGTGATGCAACTGTTTATAATTTTGATTATGAAAATAAGAAAAATTATTTCATTTGTTTATATGAGTTTCCTGGTGCAATATTGATTCATCCATCGAAAAAAGTTACACACGGTATCTTGGCAATGCATTGTGGTCGAACAAATGTTTTAAATGATAAAGAAAATCCAATTATTATTACAACTGGTAATACAAAACCAAATTCATGAATAATAATATTATGTTGAAAATAGAGGAGCAAACGAGATTACTCGTTTTTTTACTGATCGTTGTCAGTAACTTTGTTGTATATGAGTGTATCTCTTCTCCACTTACATCTATATCCTTACCTACAGTTGATCGAAAAAAAGTACGGATTTTATCTGTTTATTGTATTTTTAGAAATAAACTAACTTTCGATTATTCTGATCAAACATTTTTAAGTTTGACATCCGATATTCATACGAATTGGTACTAAAATATTGCCAAATGTTGATATCATATTTGAATATAAAATCTTTGCGAACACTAGGGTGTGGGTGTGGATGAATAATGAGAGGAAATACCCTTACCCATACTCAGACACACTCCCATCCACACCCTTGAATAGTTGGACTGAACTGAGTTTGTGTGTTCGATATTTTTCCTTCTTTCGTTATATTATTCCTTACAAAACAGATCTTTTAAACTACAAAGTAAGTTTTATAAAAGGTGTATACACTCTTTTTTTCTCAGTCATCGTCTTCTTCGGATTCTTCTTCTTCAAAGTTTTCATCTTGCAATGCTAAATCAATCCAATCTTTGAACGTACCAATTTTGTTCCATTCAGGTATATTTAATACTTGCAAATAAATTGTACCCGTTCTCAGTCCCAATAGATATTGTTCACCATAATCATCCATACCTTCACCAATTACCAATAATTCACTTTTCATTTCATGAAATTCTTTATTCTTAACAGTCTTCTTATCATTGTACACTTTTAAATGTTCCCGTAAATCATCTTTCATTAGACCTTCACCGATGCTATTGTCATCGTCATCTACTAGTTGTTCAAACAAATCATTACACCATGGTACATTTTCATATGGATGCCATTCGTCTAGTGGTAGAAGATCAGTTGTTGGTGAACGATATGAAAGACCAAATAGATATTTTCGACGACCATTATGAATACGAATAGCTTGTTTAATATCATTTGGAAGTGTAATACCACCGAGACGTCGTTCAGCTTCTTGTATATCATATTCACTAACACCAGGAATATAACGATTCTGATATTTAGAATTTGATTTAAAATGAACATTTATTTTCTTCCAAAGTTGTTCATATTCTTTTGAACGTGTTTGTTGTAATAATCGAGTCTTTAGATATTGTACTAAGAATAAAAGTAAAACACTGGTAAGACTCATCTCTAGATGAACTGTCACCACGAAAAGTCATATGAGAAACTCATAACATGAAAACCGTGATTCTTGTGTTCATTTCACATTCAACATTATCACAACTGACTCCCCTGATCACGATCTTTAGGAAAGTGACAATCAGTTTTTTACTTTATTAAAAATGAGAAGTTAGAACTTTAAAGAAAGATCTTCTCAATTTTTCGATGAAAAACATCTGTTTTCTTGAAACTCTCGTTTCGATAATTCTCATCTTGTTTTAGATTGATGATCAAGATTCAAACACGGACAAGTTTTCAGCTTACCATTTTGCTTAATTAAATCTTCGCTATCTTGTATAAATGTCATTTCAACATCATTATCGAAGATCAGTCTTTCAGGATGAGCTAGAACCAGTGAAAAACGCTTCATAGTTTTAATACGTATCTGTTTCACAAGTACACTTACACCACAACCAAATATTTTCTCGAAGTTTTTCCAAGACTTTCTTTTCATATTCTTCTTGATTATAAATTTCTATTGTGAATGAATTTTGGCCATCTTCGCAATTAATTAATCTTTTTTCAATTTCAGTATGTGCGCGTTCTTTATTGACATTGCCATAGAAACTATAAGTAAAATGTGTCTTATTTGACTGAGTATCTTGAATAACAATATAATGACCTAAAAACAATCGAAATAGATTTCGTTTGACATCTGTTTATTTTTAGCAGTATGTTCAAGCATGCAAAAGATAAAATAATTATAGAACGCAGGTCCCGTTCTCGTTTATATTAGAACGTTTTAAAAGTTGGTTCCAATATTTTGATAAAATTCGATTTTTCATGCTCAAATTGGATGCATACGAAGTTAGTCTCTGTTGATCTATCTACATATGGAATCTCATATCAATAGTATAATGAACTATCTCTAGTCGATAACCTAATCTTCACTAACAGTAGATGACTTACCCACAGCAACTTGACCTACAAGTACGATGGTGTCGCGGTTAATAATTGATGCTTCCCTGCTTGTTCCAGTATTGGCTAAAAAAGAAAGAACAACAAACGAATTAGCTGAACAAATGAGAAAAGTTTTCAAAACGAACTTTTCTGGTCAACAATTCAAAGGATAATCATATTTAGAGATTTTCTGCAAAAACTACGTCTCGTTTTTGCAGGATAGCTTGGCGAAAAGCTAATTTGTTTATAAATGAATCATTAATCTCTCGATTTTTCTATTGTTGTGCGGTACTGTAACAGTCACACTTCGAACGCGAGAGATCTTTTATTTCTGTCTGCTTACCCATATTTTCAATTCGCATGTAGTACAAATTTTGATCTTCTTTGCTTTCAGTTTTCGTAAAAATGACACGTCGTTTCGATGTTTTATCTTTTGTTCCACTTGGTGTTAAAATCATATAAATTGATCTCTGCATATGATCACTATCGTCTCCGTCATCATTATCCTTATAAACAAAATCAATATGACCACTTTCCAACAATGTCAGATGTTTGAATTGGTCATTATTGTCACTACTTGATGCTGGTTCGTCCACTGTTTGTATTGTTGTTCGCGATGAAATTTTCGATTTCTTAGATCCTCTTTTTACCGATTTCGACTTAGTAGTCGTTGTAGAAGGCGTAGCTTTACGTTTTGGAGGCATAGTGTTTTTGTAAAAGCAACTACGAGTTTGTGCAGAAACGGTGCGCAGCAAAAGAAAAAATATATGTAACTCGTTATTGATGCTGTACACTCGTGTCTCTTGTCTTTTTTTTCTTTTTCTTTTTCTTTTTCTCATTCTGCTTACACTGATTAGAGTCAATAATTATTCTCGTACACAGTAGATGGATTCTTTTTTTTCTTTTTCTCGTTCTGCTTACACATGCCAGAGTAAGTGGCTATTCTCATACACACTAAACAGAAACAGTTACACAAAAGAGAAGAAATCGTAAGGGTGTGGGTGCGGGTATTGAGAGATTTCATCTTCTCCTATAATCACACAAAACCACACCTATCCCGTTACTAAAAAGCCAAAAATAAATTTTCATCTCAATTAGAAATCAAAAGGAAAAATTCTGTTCTACTCCTTATGGTATTACTTCATCTTTTGGTTTGAATACAGAACAAGATCATCTGCACTTGGAAATTCATAGAATAACGTATATTCATTTTCTTCTTTAGAAGTGATGAGGGATGTTTTTTATACTACCTTTTTTCATACTGTATTTGGCGGAAGAATGAGCATGGGGAAAAACAAATCAACATATAGATGGGGTTTATTGAATAAGTAGAAAAATGTATTAACTTCTATCGGAAATACTATTATACTAAAAATCATAACCAAATAAATATAAATTAAGATAAAACTCATTGATAGTCTTTTATGATATTCATTTGGTTTTTGAGATTATAATGTTTTTATATGTATTATACCATTATTTTGTTTTTTGTATTCATTAAGTATGACTAATTAAAATAAACCTAAAAGCATTAATACCTTTCATGTTTAATCTTATTGCAATGTATTCATATCTCTCTGGTTATTGCCGTCATCTATACATTTCTTTTCTTGTGCTCATCGTTCATAATGCTTAATTTTCCGGTTTCCATCTATAAATACCTAACGATGCTTCGTGTTCAAAAGTATATTTGGGTATCACATTTAGATATAATATGAAACACAATTATTTTTTAATATAGTACCCATGAACATGTTATTGTTGATATACTGAAACAAAACTAATTATGATTATTCTTATACATTCAATCAGAGGTTGTAAGTGTCCCGCTTTTAAAACAATCCACACTCACGTCCACAAGTATGTTTCTGCTAAATAGAATAAAAACCAAATGATCACTTAGACAGCTGTCAAATACATTTGTTACTAGAAGAAACTAACCAGAGAGATATTTTGGCACATTGAAGAGGTTTTTCTTATAAAAATTCACGTCGCATGTATAATTTATTCATCAGCACTGACAATTCACTCATCTGTGTATTGAAAAACTTGTTTATTTCATTAAAAAATCTTTATTATTCTCAAGTATGAAAAAGAACTGTGTTCTTGACTTTGTGATTATTTATAGGAAATAGAATTATAATGAGAAGATTATCCGCTACGAAAATTTTCTTCTAATATTATTTAATTTAATCGAACAGTTACTTGACACTTTCATGATAAATAATAAACAGAAATGTTTGCGATCTTGAAGTGTATTTTGAAGACACCAGGATTGAATCTATTTCCTAGAGTATTTACTTCGCGACAATAAAACTTTAGTAGATAAACGTCTATATTGATTGCTTCTTCCCTTAAAAATTAATTAAAACAAAAAGCGAGTTGATCCTCTATATATTCTCTTGACAATATATCGTTTTGAAGAAAGCTACCAGGAATGTTATGGTGAATAATGATTCACCAATTCTTTCTTTTTCTTTTCTCGTAGTTTTTCTATTTCATTATCTTACTGTCGTGTAGAATTACTTGTAACATGATAGATAATAATTCGTGCGTTATTTATCTCTTTTTCTTCTTCTTTCTTATCCGTGCACATATAGATGAATAACTTTGAGCGCGTCGTGTTCATCATTTAGAAATATTTCAAAGTAGTCTCTTTTCTTTCTTCACAAATAGAAGAGAATATAGAATAAACATCAGTATTCTGGCATAATTTGGTAACTGTTTTTGCTGACTGATCGTAATTAGATTTGAACCATTGATGATCACAAGGGGTTATCATTATTACTAGAAATTAGTGAGATTACTATTTATCTCTTATACTCCTATATAGATGGAACTTTTTATACATATATTTGATCCTCTATTAACTATTGCATATTGTTCTATTTGATAGAATTTTAATTGATTAGATGTCATCGTGGATGAACACTTTGCTTGCCATTCAACAACAAATTATTCGTTATGTTTATTCATTATATCTTATATTTGGTATAACCGGATGTTGTCTCAATATTATTCTCTTTTCTCAACGACAGTTTCGGACAGTATCCTGTTGCACATGTAAGTCAGTTTTATTTATCGTAAAACATTGAGAGCAAACTAAACATCGTTAGATTAAGTAGTATCTTGTAACGCACGAATTAAAACGAGTGTTGAAATGTATAGAGACAGAAATTTGCACTCCCACTCCATAGACATGACAGATGTTATTAATTGACATTAATTGATATTACAACAGCTACTTCGTGTTTCACACTTTAATCCCATCGAGATTATACTTACAGTTTTTTTTTATTCTGATATATGAATGAATGAATATCTGAATAGTGATTGTTGATTTTTGATGAGAACGATAAATAAAGCAATGATTATCAATTTTTTAAACAGATTTCTTAGCATCATCTGTGGCAATGATAATGAATCTCGTGTTCGGAATCGGACCACATATGTATACATTAAATCATGCAGATCCAATTACGACAATACCCACATTTTGTAAAATGCGCATCTATTTAATTCAAGTCGTTGCATTAACGTATCGCTGGTCACTGACTGCAGCTTGTCTTGATCGATATGCACTCTCGTCAACAAATACACGTTTGCGAAAATTTGCAAAAGTAAATATAGCACGCCGTATTGTGGGAACGATAGTGATCGTATGGGCCATTTTGCCTGTGCATACTCTTATCTTTTACAATTTGAGAGCAGGTGCATGTGGTATCTTTTATAATACTGCTGCAGCTCTTTTTCATGCCATCTTTACCACCATGGTGTCCTGTGTTCTACCCGCCTCTATTATGTTCACTTGTGCCTTACTTATTCGTCAAAACCTTGCTCTCAAACGACAACGTCATCAGTTAACAAAAAAAAGGGATCAAGTAAAACATAAAAATCGTACACGAGATCAGCAAGTGTTAGTTATGCTTTTCATGCAAGTAATTGTCTATATCATTTCAGTGATACCTTTGATGATGATTTATATTTATATCTCTGTGACACTCCATATTACAAATAAATCTATCGAACGTATAGCTATCGAACGATTTGTCGGTTTTATAGCTGAAGCAATGATCTATCTATTTCCTGTTTCGTCATTCTTCTTATATACAATATCATCGCGCACATTTCGTAATGAACTAACTCGTCTGTTATACTCAGTATTCGAATGTTGGCCGTTAATTAACATTCGTTACTTCCAAACCATAACGAACGATGATACATTGAGAAAAACTAATGGAAATCTCACTGAAACGAGCGGACAACAAGAAATGATAGACGAATCTACCATTTAATGATTATTCATTATATTCCCGATTCTCAAATTATGTTAGGCTTCGTCGTATTATAGTGTGGCCATGTTAATGTTTGCTCTCTCTCTCTGTATGATGTTTTGTTTCTTAAATGCAAGATGCCTTTCGTCTTGATTTTCTGGTTAGTTGAGAATTCTGACGAAACCACTCGACATCGTTACGTTTATATTAATTCAGTGTCATCTATGATCTTCATATGTGCTGATTCTTTAAGGGTGTGGGTGTCGCTAGATTTTATCTTCTCCTACAAACATTTACATCCTCAATATTCAACACAATTCTTTGAATTTTTCACGTGTGATTGAAATGTAGGAACACTACGGATGTTTTCTTTTGCAAGTTCTTTATATAACGCGATGTATTTTTATTCTTTTTCGATGAAAAAAAAAGATAGATGAAAACATAATAAAAATGGAGTAGATGCCTAATTCGACTTATAATATAAAAGAAAAATTGCATGTATCTATAACTATATATCTATATCCGATTAGGAATTTAGGAATAGATTTAGTTTTTTCATTTATAATTATAAAT